CACAAAATTATAGATACCATTTAAAAAAAAATCATATTCACGTTTGGAAAATGGCCAAATTCCAAACCCATTTAATTCATTTTTATAATTAGTCAGCAGTCAAAAACAAAAAACAACAGCTATATTTTATTTCCATGCCGGCATTAATTGCACACATATCTCTGGCTTGTTGTTGTGTTTGATTTTTCTCAAACTAATCCGGAAATGAATCAAGAATGGAAGCGTCACAAAAAAAAAAAAAAAAACCATGAAAACTGCTTTGTCACTATGGAAACCGGCCTTGACATTATCCAACAGGCGCTACGTGTGAGTTTTGGTTGACTTATCACACCTCTACCAGTCTGTAAAACACAAAGTTATCACTGTCCGACAGTAATGTTTGTTGAGCACACACGTCTCTGTTGCAGGGTTGCCTAGGTGACAGCAGGGGACGGAAGCTCCTGTCATAATCGAATTCGGCCCGACCTGCCGTTTAACGTAGGCAGGTGTCGTAAAATGACGCGACCGTTGTAGCACTGGCCCTCCACTGCTGAACGGGCGTGGGATTGCCATAGCATTACTTAACAGATGAATTGTATTTAGTTATTTACTTGTGTCTACCATACCCGATCTGGCGCAGTAATCCCGGACTGGCTTTATCACAACTGAGGAAGGCGGTAACAGCGAGCAACGAGGATGTTTAAGAAGTACGTTGCTGAGTGTTTCCATGTTGTAGAGTGAGCTAACCACAGCTATGTGGCTAACGCTAACTGATTAGCAAGCGCGTCTTCGAGTTTGTTGTGTTCATGTTCAATCAATGAGACAGGGGTGGTTGTGAGGGAGCTTCTGGTGTTATGTTAGACCAGGACTGCGCCCCAGCGGAAAGACATGTGTTTGAATGTGTCAGTGCTGTGGGGTCTAAAGAGTATTTATGAACCTTTGTGAACAAAACTGTCTATTATCCAAACATGTGTCATCTAGAGACAGTTGGGAAACATCCGCTCACACAGTTCAATAATGTGATCATATGTATGTTTATATGTAATCATATGTTTGAATTAATGACAATATTCAAAGTTACCTTTCTTGTGTATAAAGTTGCCAAAACCCCTTTTAATGGTGTATTGAATGTAATTTATAACAATATTTACACTGAAATGAATCTGATTATCTGAATGAGATCCACGATGCTTGAATTGTGTATTAATTATCTGCAACAATGTGGAATAAGTCCTGTATGTGTGTGATTGTCATTTACACCTTTAAATTGGAAGTAAACGAACAGAATGAAACTTTGTTGTATAAAGATAATAACCATATGATGGACATAACACAAGGGCGTGCTCTGTTTTATAGCTGTGTTTGTACTTGAGAAACATAAACATGCAAAACCTTTTCCTGTTTCAGATTTGATGAGAAGGAGAATGTGTCCAACTGTATCCAGCTGAAGACATCAGTGATCAAAGGCATCAAAAACCAGCTGTTGGAACAGTTTCCCGACATTGAGTCATGGCTTAATCACATAATGCCCAAAAAGGACCCTGTCAAAATAGTGAGATGGTACGGACTATCATTTCTTCTCATCAAGGTTCTCACATGCTTTCAGTTTAGGGGATTTTCTTCTAGTTAATATTTCTATTATTCTTCCCACAGCCATGAACACATTGAGATCCTGACAGTGAATGGAGAACTGCTCTTCTTCAGACAGAGAGAAGGACCGTTCTACCCAACCCTCAGGCTGTTGCATAAATGTAAGATCAAGTCCACCGTGGGATGTTTGTGTTAGTGTTTTTGCCTACTGCTAAGAAATTACCATTTCTTTGCACAGATCCTTTCATTCTTCCCCACCAGCAAGTAGACAAAGGAGCCATTAAATTTGTCTTAAGTGGAGCCAACATCATGTGCCCCGGGCTGACGTCACCAGGCGCTAAACTCTACCCAGCTGGAGCTGACACAGTAGTTGTATCCTTGCATGATGCTACACGCGGAGACTGTTTGACGTTTAAAATATGATGTTCTTTTCTGTAAGAGTTAAATATTGTTTTCCATCTTCACAAGTTTGTCTTTAACAAGCGGACGCAGGCCATAATGGCAGAGGGAAAACAACATGCACTTTGTGTTGGTGTTATGAAGATGTCTGCAGAAAGCATGTAAGATTGTTTTCTTATGTTTTACAGGAGTAGAAAATGTCCGTTCTGTTACTGCTCTTACGACGCCTGATCGTAATTTGTCTTTTGCCAACAGAGAAAAAGTCAACAAGGGAATTGGAATCGAGAACGTTCATTATCTGAATGACGGACTGTGGCACATGAAGACGTATAAATGACGACATCAACACCTGCAACGGCCGTCCCCACCCCGCCACGCCACGCCACGCCACGCCACTACCCCCCCGGAAAGTGTGGAGCTCTTGACAGCGAGGCATGAGCTGCCAGTCAACTGTTTACACCTACGGACTTAGCTGTGTAACCTGCTGGAGGCTTTGAAACCAATCGCGATTATGCACAAATAAAAGAAAGATCTTGCTTTAAACCTTAATGTCAGTTGGTATTTTGCATTTGATCCAATTAAAGATGCACACATTGTTGTGTTTAATGAAATCAAAACAGCAGACATGATAAAAACAAATTGTAGTATTAATTACGTCAGCGTAACCTTGATTACCTGGTTTTTATTTTGCGTGTATAGTTGTAGCCTGTGTGTCTACATGTTATTTACTTATACAGTTAAAGCCTACAGGGACACTGCATGATATTTCTGGACATGTGCCAGTTTAGTCACGCAATTGTTTCTTGGGTATTTGTATCAATACAGGACATGAGGCGTAAAAAAATGACTGAAGGAGTGGCAGAGTGATGATAGAGTGATGAGGGTACGTTAGACCTGTTCTTCTGTCTTCAGTCACTAAATCTTGACACTGCTTGCTGTCAGGTAAAATTGTGTGACATATTTACTGGGTAGACTTAACTAAAAATAATACAACAGCAAAATCTTCTTTAGGCTATAATCAGTTTTTTGTTGAACTGTTTTAATACGTAAACTAGGTGTTTCTATTATTGTGTACACCTCATTTGTATCAGTTGATGCAATTGTTCCCTCGTGTTCAGTATTGTTGATCGCCTTTTGTTATAAACTGACTGCATATTTCAACAGTACCAGGGCGTCAATTAGAACCACAATATTTTATTTTATTACCCAACAGCAACAAAACATAATGTACATTGTGTTCAGATGCAACAAGATGGTGGTCACCAGTGTTCTTTATAATTATGCAGAATATAAAACAGTGGCCACGTTTTATCTGCAGAAGAACACATTTACAGTTCTATATAAAAAAATGTTGAGCTTAAAGCACTCCTTTAACTGTACAAAGATTTCCCAAAATTATTCACAGTATACTTGACAAGATATACACCTGGAAAGCTACCAGCTCTCTTCTGTATGACGTAGACACACTTTCATCCTCGTTCACACTTTAACAGTCCACGTTGGATCATTCAACACCACAAACCAGTAAGTTTAATCAGTTTAATTTTTATTATCCAAAATTCACTTTTAATGTGTGAAGTCAACACTGAGGTATATTATTTTTCCATTTCGCTGTAAAGGCCAATTCCACATGAAGAGATAACCGAGCATAGTGTGACAAGAAATGCACTTCATTTAGAGCTGGGCCGCGATGTGTTTGACTCAATATTGATTATTGGTACGTCCATACGATCTGTAAATCAGTTGGGTGATGTATTCTCAGACATAAAAAAGAAGTTCTTTATAATGTTAATAATTAAATAATTTCAGAAACTCGTCATTTTCAGAAAATAGCATCACCTAATAACTTGAATACAGCTTTAAGAACACAAAGACAAACATTTAAGATACATAATATTACAGTAAACAATACTTCCATATAACTTAACCTGCGCCACAAAGGAACGGGGTGCTGATTGTGCCGAGTGCAAAATGTACAAATTACATAAAAGTGTTACTCCCACCCAGGATCCAGTTTTACAAACAGCATAAGAAAACCATCTCCCCGAAGTTAGGTTTGCCATCACAGAAGCAAAACGTTTAAAATGCCAATACTCGGCTCGAAGGAATGAGTCTAGTCGTTATCTGAACCTTCGGGAGGGTGAAACACTAACGAGTCGTGAAAATCGTGGCCGTAAGGACGAAGCCTGTAAACTCCGAACATCATGACCTGCATCTGATTGGGCGACATCCCGTTGAAGGTGACTGCCATGTCGGAGCAGCAGCCCTCCACCACGTTGGTGGGGTTGTCCCTCATGCTGTCCGATATGAGGCTGTCCACGCTCTTGCTGTTGAACAGGCCCTTTCCGTGTGCGTCCTCTCCGTTCTCTGCGAAGACGCCCGTGTATTTGAGGCACACGGCCAGCTGCTTGTCCTCGCCCAGCTTCCACAGGGCACGTCCTCTTTCGGGACACTTGTCTTCGTCCTGGAACACGTGCACCAGCCTCTTCAGCGCCTCGTAGCTCAGGACAATGCCGCTGTCGTACGCCACATACTCGAGCTCCCCCGACTTCATCGCGTTGCCCAGGTAGAAGGGCTCGGTGGGGTCCTTTGTGAGCACCAGGTATTTGAGGTTCTCTATGATGGCGAACGTGGTGGGTTGCGCCACAAAGAACCAGCGCACGTCTCCAGCGTTCTCATACGCATGTTTCAGAGCTTTGCGTAACCTCGCCCAGTCGTCTTTCTCATTCAGGTCTACTGCATCGAGCGCCTTCGAGGACTCGGAGGTGTAAAACACAGCCTTATCACAGTGTTTGCTCCAGGTGTCGACAGCTGTCGCCCAATAAACAAGGATCTTGGGCTGGACCATGATGATGCAAGAGACCTGGACTTGATTGCTCAACTCTTGCACCCGGGCGTCGGGGAGGCGTTGGAGCTCATCTTTACTCGGGGCCTTGACGTGGTGATGGTGGTGATGATCCTCGGTCATAGACTCCGTGCCGGGGCTGAAACTACCCAGGAGAGACAGCACCAAGCAGAAAAGGCCTCCCAGGACCATCCCCTTCATGAAAGAGCCTCCTTCGGATAACATTTTGGCAGCAGACTGTAGAGAGAGAAAATGCAATAATGTAGCAAACCATTCCCACATTCAGCTTTTTAACTGTGAGGATTTGCTGCTTTACATATGTGACGTGAAGAGAAACTGTATGTTACAAGGCACAAAATGTGGAAGATAAAGCAGCTGGTCAAGTCTCGCTAAGTTTTGAAATAGAAATAATTAAAATAATAAAAATAGACGCTGTTCATGCTTTCACTTCCTCATGTTTAAATTATTGTAATGATCTCCTAACAGGCATAATTCAGAAAAGACTACTAACAAAAAGCCAGAACAGAGATCACATAACCCTCACTTCACTGTTTTTACACTGGCCACCACTATGTTACAGAACTGATTGTAATAATGTAATGACGTCCAATAAAGCACTTCATGTCTGCCTGTATCTCTGACGACTCTGCATTAACCTGAACAGTCGGAGGATCTGCTGGCTGCACATAAATAATAACCTGTCTGACAACCTAACCTAAACGGCTTTCAAACCTGTATTTCAGCTGGATGACGTTAACTATGAATAGCCTGAATAATGTGAATGTGTTTTGTAATGATATGTTGGTTGTTATGTGCAGTGTGTGTTGTGTTTTGAACTTTTAACAACGTGTAAAGGTCATTGGCAGTGATGCGACATTGTGTTTGCTGTAGGTTTACTTCTAACTTGCGGTGTAAAACACAAAGTAAAGGGTGACCTTTACTTTGTGCTCTTTACTGACTGACTTTATGTTTTATTGGGATGGAAGCAACTTTCTATTCAATTAACGTTAGTATCCAATCAACATTACAAAAACCAACGGTGTAAACTTTACTATCAGAGGACTCGGAAACCCCTGAAATTCTTCAGCTCTTCCAGCTGTAACACTGCTTTTCCTTCACTGTCAGATGAACTTAATAAGAAGATTAATCGATAATAAAAATAAGGATTTAACTAGCTGCAGCCCTAATATAATAACACAACTTGTTAATCTTCTACGTAGCATAACAAGCAAATATTGTTGTATCGCCAAACTCGTCCTTACTAACAGTGAGTGGAGAACTAACGTCGCCGTTGTTAGTTTGTGAGTGAAACACTGAGCTTCACCGGCGGTTGACGGTTTAAATCCGACCGTTTGAACCGTTATTTTAACGTCAACGTCTATAAAAGAGGATTAACGAGCAGTTGGCATTAACGTCAGCTAACCGTTGGTCGTCAGCTAACCGTTGGTCGTCAGCTACGGGTTCGCAGAGAGTTCAGTCGCTCTTTAACTACCAACGGTTAGTTAACGTTAGCTAACGGTTAGCCTCCAACCGTCGTAACGTTACACTGGCGGCTAACTCGTCTTGTTGGCAACATAAATATAACAAATAAAGAGCGTTTTGCTGTAACGTTACCTAGCTGTGTTACCGCTGCCGTGTCCGGTGAGAAGTGGTGCTCCTGTAGCTCTCCTGGTCTTCCAGCTCCCGCCTGACCCGCTGGGTGAGATTCCAACGGCAGCCAGGATAGTTAATTAACAACCAGTGCGTGAGTGGGCCATGTTGAAGTCCGACTTCCGCTTCCAGAGATCATGTGACCCAGCTGGGGACTCGTTAAATGAATAAATAAATAAATAAATGTGTTAATGAGAATCAGAAATACTTTGATACTTTAACACTTTGATCCTAAAGGGGGAAGTTTGTTTGTTACAGTTGTTCTACTCACACCTGTTAAAGAATAGAAATTATACCTATGACAATATTTAACACGGTATATAGAATAGAAATGTATGTGTAGCTGTATACATATAAGTAGAAAGTAACAATAAAAATGGAAATATAAATATAATAGGAGCCTAAGAGATAAATTATAGTCATATTAGTTAATTTAATTACACAAATTAACCCGGTTAATACTTCAAAAATATTAAAGCGTTATTATTATGTAATGCTAATTAATTTTTATTTTTATAAATGTTTTTATTTTACTTTACAATGGCATTTTCCCCCTGTGGTACTTTTTTTTAATGTTACTTTTGATTTATTTATTATATATATCTTTATCCCTTCAAATGATAACTTCATTATGTATTTATTTATTAATTGAATTGAATATTGAACATTTTGGGGTTGCGCGATGTTAGTCATCAGTTTAGATTATCTTTAATTGTTGCTTCGACGAAGATTGTATGTTTAGATGATTTTGAGATAAACATGCAGCCTTAAGAACCTTTGTTCTTAAAAAAGGGGAATTGTTGGGAAATGTCCCATACCCGTCAAACAGGATTTGAATAATTCACTTCTTCAAATCAGATAAAACATACCTGATACCGAGCTTTCCTTTCAGCACTGCATTTGCATTAACCAAATTACACAATGTAGAGGTCTTATCTTCAGGCCTGTCAAACACCAACACAGCCAACTGTCGGTTGGGACCTACCTTTCAGGTTACTGTGGTCTCTTCTTGAGTTTATACTAGTTCACTTCATTAGTTGACGTGTCAGGAGACAACTGGTCGATTTTGGTCTGTAGCTAAATTTCTGCTGCTATAAAGATGTTCTGCATTTGAAAAAACTCAAAATATATGTTGGTTTGTGTCTAGTAATGCAAAGTAACTGAGTACATTTACTCAAGTACTGTACTCAAGAGCCTACCTTTCCACTACTAATTTCGTTTTTATATTTTCAGGCATTTTATGCCTTTATTTGGACAGTGAGTCAAAGATAGACAGGAAGGAGGGGAGAGAGAGAGAGGTGGACGACACACAGCAAAGGGCCACAGGTTGGAATCAAACCCGGACACCCTTAGTACATGGGGTGCATGAAGTGTGCATTTCAGCCTGTGTGAAAAAAAGAGTGAAAGGAACTTTCAGGGGGATTTCCCCCTAGGGGATCAATAAAGTATATCTTCTTCTTCTTCTTCTTCTTCTTCTTCTTCTTCTATAACTACTAGTTAATTTTCAGATTAAGATTTTACATTTAAGAAATATAAGTATAAATTCAACAGGGGCGCCCTGGTGGCTCACCTGGTGGAACTGATGCCTCATGTGCCGGAGCTGAGTCCTGCTTCAGCGACCATGGGTTCGCCTCTGGGCTGTGGCCCATTGATGTGTGTCGTCCCCTCTCTCTCCCCCCTTTCCTGTCACTCTACAACAGCAGATGTTGGCAGTTCAGTCGGAATCTAAGAGACTCTAAGAGAGAGATACAACATACACGTTTACTTAAGTGGGATTTTGAATGCAGGACTAATAACATTAAATTCCCATGACCACGATTAACACAGCAACCTAAATCCTGTCTGGAATTTTAATAGTGATATTTATTGATAATTATTTGATAGTTATTGTTTCTTTCCTTTTTCAAATGAGTAATGTGTCTGTGTGTCTGAAGTCACTGTTTGACTTTAAAGCGAAGCTCTGTGGCGCGTTCACGTCTTCTCATTGACTGCTCAGCAGCCAAATGTATCAAATGTTGTTGTTTTCAGCAGCAATTTCACAGACGTGGAGACAAGCTTATAAATCACCTGATACCACGGACAATCTTTAGGACATTAGGGACCTTTCAGTTTGACAAAAAGCCCTGCGGCCCAAAGCGTCCTGGAGCAGCCGAAAACTCTTGTTTTGATCTTTTATATTTTTGGAAACAATTACTCCTGAGTTTCCTTTTACATTTTATGCCTTTATGAAATAAGTAATGACTTAATTGGTAAAGCTCAACCAGTAATTTTCTCTGAAAGGACTCCACAGTTAAGACAGGACACGACTTCATCCTTTCAGTGGCTCCTCAAAATGTCTTTGTAATTACATTAGTAATCTGCAGTGTTTCCATTGGCTCTTCAACAGGTACAAAGGAAATGACCTCTGTGTATCCTTTGCCTTGTCTGACACTTCACTGTACTCTTTGCACGGCCCTGAACATTCCATATTTCCATTTGTGACATTTGCACATTTATCTTTTTTGCATATATTATTATGATGGCTCTAGGGATGTCAGTCTGTCTGTCAGTTGGTTGGTTCACCAATTTTATTTTAGCTACATTTCTGTTTCTGTTCTGATAGTCAGTCACAAAACAGTCTGCGTTGAGCGCTGCTTTGGTGTGAAAGATAACCTGAATTCATATTGATCATGTGACTACTTGCCAGATAAATGTAGTATTTGCCCTGATGAAACTGCCTGAAATGCAAAGACATGTTTTTAACTGTTACTATGACTAAATAGTCATGAGGCATTAAAGGCTTTTTAAATCACTGCTGTTGAGAGAGATCAGATTTCTTCTACAGTTATAAACTATTGGATAACATTTGGCTCTAATATTCATTTCACCCTGCAGGTAAATTTTTCATCTAACACCGTCATCAGGTCAAAATTTAGCAAAACTATCTTAAAAAAGACATTCCCATGAACCTCAGCAACAGTTTGCTTTTGACAAATCAAGCAAAATAAAAAGAAGAAAGAAATCTCTTAATCCTTATTTTTCACTTTAATTGTTTAAATTTAAGACTTAGTTGGACATATGTACAAAGTGCAACTTACATATTGAAAGGGTAGCAGCGTACAGCGTAAGTAGGAATTTATGCTTTAATCAACATGTAGAAATGAAAACTACAGAAATAAAATATTAAAGAAATATTAAAATATCGTAATGCTCCACAAACAACAAGAAGCATGACACAAGAACAAAGCATATAACTGTTTGTACCGTGATTACCTTACTATCTAATTAAATTTGCAACATCTTTACCACAAAGTGACCCATTCGTCCCGTCAGACAGTCATAATTAATAGCTTCAGAAACATTGATCATTCAACCCAAAGTGACGTAGAAATCCAGTGACACAGTTCCACCTGTGTACTTGTGATCTCAGACATGAGCAATGATACGTTTGAACAGCCCATCACACAGAAATGGTGTCAGACATAAACCATCAGAGCTCTGCTGGACAGCCACTGATTACTGCTGCAGAGTAAACATTTGTTAGGCCTCTCTGTACAAGCACAGATAGGCTCCGGATGAATCGACAGGGTCCCCTAAATTGTGTCTATGACGCCTGATCCATCGCGTCAAAACCATTAAGAAAGAGACTGGATGTGATGATAATGTATTGATCAGATTGTGATGGATGACCACTGAGGATATATAAGTGAAGTTCTTTGCCGGGAGAGGTATAGTCCAGATTCGGCCATCTAAAGACAAAGGCACCATGCTTTCTGTAGCTCTGTTTTACCTCTTAGCTGTGATTTGTTCTGCAAGACGGACACATGCTCTACCGCTGTACCCTGATACCAACCTGGAGCCACAGGCAGGTAAGACTCTTTTAAAATGCTTTTCTTGACCATTTTACCATTTAAATCTTACCTTTTGTCATGTCACTGGGATATTTACTCTATGCCAGATAACAAACAGAAGCTGAAACAAACTTAAATGAATATTTCTTTACTCAATTAATTTATATAATATTAATTGAGTTTCATCTATCTTTACTGAAATATTCTACCCTTCTTTGATAACCCCTTCTTGTCCTTCAAGATATGGGTTTAAACTACATCAATCCATTTTCATGAGGTATTCCACTGAACTCTCTCAGGGTATTAATGTCATAGTGACAGGATGATGGGAAGAAGTTGTTTTATCTCAACAGATTTCATCCAGAAATTAGTGTCAGAGGTTGAGGATGGACCCAACACCGCCGAGGGGGAGCAGAGAGAGGTGAATAACCTGTATCCTCTACTGATGCAGCACAATGGAGCAAGAGACTCCTGGAATAAAGGTAAACGATTCAAACATCATGCAGACATTTGCAGTCAGTCGCATACGGTCAACATGATGAGTTTTTTTACTCTCTTTATGTTTTTAAGGGGCTAAAGATTCAGCACAACAAGACAAGTTTGCGAACATGGTAAGACTGACACTCTACGTCTCTGTACACTGAGAAGGTTTAACATTGCACTATGTATTGTATAATAGTATAGCATGTCTCAGAAAAAAGTCGCAAAGCAAGAAACCCATCAAAATAGCAGAAATGATGGGCAATTCAAAGAACTAGTTAAAGGTGAAATATCAGAGAAAGATCAATTAATGCAGAAATTAGGTTTTAGTAGAGATTAACAGGAAGGCTGTTCCAGAGTTTGGGGATTCTCACAACACATGCATCTTCTTTAGTTTTAGGTCTAGATTAGGGGGGTGTAGCCGTGATCTGATGATGCAGAAGCTCACAAATGTATGCTGGACCACAGAGTGCTTTAAAAGTAATACCTTAAAATCAGTTGGAAACCAATGCAAACAGGCTAAAATGAGGGTTACGCGATCTCTCCAGTTTGTTCCAGTTAAAGCTCTAGCTGAGGCATCCTGTAGAGTTCACATCATCTTCTGCTTTTGTCATGTTTTTTTCTTGTTTTTAGGTTGAGGACCTCGGAGAAGCTGTTCTGAAGTTGGCAGCGGCTGAAAAGCTACGTTCTCAGGGTTTTCTCAGATCAGAGCAGAACTTGCCAAAAACAAACAAAAGAGGTGAGTGACTCTTATTCCTTATTACGCACGATCATGCCACACCTGCTCTTCATACACAGTGTCGGATCACGTATAACAATACCTGGCTGTTGTCCAAAGGTCTAATCAGAAGGATGTTTAACTAAGGCTCGTGCCATTTAAAGAAGAACACAAAACAGATGGAACGACCAAGTAGAAGTAAAATGAAACAGATAACAACAGTAAATATACAAGTGCATGGTACATAACTCCACTGAAGTGATAGTGAACAGTAAGTGCTGAGTAAAAACTACAGTTACTTTCCTTCAAAATTAAATAGTTTAATGTTTTCTAAAGAGTAAAATACTTATATCTTATATACAAAATAGAAGCGCACAGCAGCTCTAAGGCTGCACAACTGATCAAAATATTATCAGAATCTGAAGCTGCAATGTTCTGATGAAGGTAAAATGTGTGACAGCATTATAATGAAGTACTGTAGTTCTGAAGAGATGCTCTGGCCTACAAATCCTGTTCTCCAGATTTAACAAAACATGTTTGTTTTGTACAGACCCCAAAAAAGTCTCATGATGATGGTTGTTATAGGTTTTTTTCAGTGAAAATTACATTTGTGATGCAAAAATGAACTATTGGTGAATTATGTCTATTAAAATAATCACAATCTGATGTTTTTATCATATATTGTAACCCTAAACTGCACAGTGTTCAAACTGGAAAGCATATTTGTCTTTGGTCACCTTGAAGAGCTCCAACATTTACCACAACGTAATTCTAGATTACCAGATTTAAGGACATTATACATTATATAACGCTTATTAATGTACAGTATTTGTCAACAGTTGTAACTTTATAAATGTTGTGTTTTACTATATTACTATATATTCACTATATATATCGATTATATTGTCATATGTTTATAAACCAGCGTCCACTTAAATAGTACTAGTTTGTTGATAATTGTGTAATTATTGTAAAACAATGTAAACACTAAACAAAAGAAGGGTGAAACTTTACTCATTGAGGATGGACAGAAACATATACAGCACATACAAGTGCAATATAAGGTAAATATTCAAATGAATGTGGGTTTGTTGCTAATTTTTCTCTCTGATGTCCTGACAGCATGTTTCTGGAAATACTGTGTCACCAACTAGAGCCGAGCAGCAGCAGGACATTTGGTCCTGGTTGGAAACGCCTTCACTCTTCATCCACATTTTTGTTTCCCACCAAACAGTATATTCGTCTCTAAACTGGATCAACAGAAAATATATTTTTGAATCTGTAAAATGGTCTTTTTTGTGGCTGGAAATAAACTTAAATATCAGAAATGTAATTAATGTCACCTGCTTTGTGATAGTTCAAGTTCTCAAAATGTTTATAATCTTTACTGCATGAGACCTAAAGAAGGAAGATGAAATTCAGGATTGTTTCTTCACTTTCTCCCCAGGAGGGGGCATTATAGTACTAGTCAGCACACACACACACACAATCCACCCAAAAATCAAGGTTGAGACCAATAAATTTGATATTTTTTATTAATTGACAGTGAGGCGGCAATTTAATCATATTAAACTGTATTTGTACAGGGTTAGTAGAAGATTTTACGTTTTGCATAAAAACGAACTGTTTGTTAAGGTTTTTGCAGCTAATACTCACACTAGCACAATCATATTTTAATAAGGGTGTTTTGATCATAAAAAGCATGGGAAATTATCAATATTTACACTATAAACAAAAACATAAACAGTCAATTGCACATTTGGCCTTTTCACTGTTGAATAAACACACCATTTTTCTGCGAGTGACTATGGATAAATAGTCAGTACATACAACCAAACAATTTGCTTTTTGAATGTCCCAAAATCTTACAAGTACATCAAGTTTTTAAGATGGAATAGTGTCTGATTCATTGCCACAGTGTATTCATGGAGGTTGTAGCACCCTCTACAGATCACCATCTTTACATGAATGGATATGATGGGTGAAAACAGGACTTTAATTACAGAGAATCACAGGTTTACTTCCTCTTGTTAGCCACGCTGAAGTAAGCCTTTTCAATTTCAATGTCGGCTGGACACGTCTGTTTGAACTCCTCCCTCTCATAGGCGTTCTGAAGGTATCGCCACACACCTGTGAACTGGGCAGGGATTTCAAAGTCGCAGTATTTCTTGGCAGCAATCTAAAATAAATGGAAAGATCAGAATTAAGCATTTAGAGAAACATAGAGTGCACCAGGTACATAAAGATCAGGGCTGAAAGAAGTACTCAAATCATTTAAAATAAGGAAATGTACAAATACAATAATGTAAAAATACTCATTACAAGTTAAAGTAAAATGTTTATGCACTATGTTGTGTTGTTTAATGTACTGCACATCAGTGCATCATAATTTATGCTTATTATAGGTTTCTGAAATCCTCATATAATCCTCATAATCCGTCATATACAAAAATATTATTGTTTGACACAATGGCCTGAAAGTATAAGTGTGACCCTGAAATTCATAAGTAAACAGTGAAAATACTGCGAGTAGCGCTGCAATGATTTCTCACTGAATCGATTAGTCATCAACGATAAAATCCATAGTCAACTATTTTGATAATTGATTAATTGTTTTGAATCATTTTTTAAGATTTTTTTATGTTTTTGTTTCAAATTCTCTGACTTCAGTTTCACAAATGTGAATATGTTCTGGTTTCTTTAGTCCTTAATGACAGTAATGTAAATATAATTGGGTTGTGGACAAAACAAGATATTTGAGGAGGTCACCTTAATTATTACATTTTAATTGAAAAATAATTGACAGATTAATTGATAATGCAAATAATCATATAATTTGCAGCCCATAGGTGTAAGTAAACATGCTGCATTGAAAACCATACTTAAGTAAGTATTATCAGCTAAATGTACATAAAATATCAAAAGTTAAAAGCTCATTATGCAGAAAACTGGCCCTGTGACTGATACATTATTATATGACATTATTTGATTGTTAATCCTGATGCATCAAAGTGAGTTTGGTAGTTTAGTCCAGTGGAGTTGGGCCCTCCAAAGGGTCACAAGATCAATCTGACGGGACGTGAAATGATTAATGGTGTATAATACTACATCTCTGGGGCCTGAACAATTGTTTAAATTACATTTAGAGGGGAATTTCTCTCTCTAGTGGAACTACTAACAACTCATAGACACCTGAAATGTGACATGGGGCCCAACCAGACACCAAAAAGGTTGAAAACCAGTGATTTCATCTTTAACAATGTATTGCATTTTATACGGTCATTTATTCTTTTATGTAAAATATGAGAAGCTACAAGTAACTATAGCTAACATTTCCCTCTTAAATGTAGTTAAGTAGTAGTTTAAAGTGGCATAAAATGTATATACTTAAGTACTTGAGTACATACTTAATTACTTTCCACCACCAGTCCAAACATCAGAGTGGTGATATTTTGCACAGGAAGACTCATCATACTAAGATTTACTGAGATTTACTCCAAAATGATCACACACTGTCTCACCCTAATAACGTGCAGTTTGGGCAGCAGGTTGCAGTCAGCTAAGGTGAGGCGGTCGCCGTCCAGGAACTTCCTCTTGGAGATGGTGATGGTTTCTCTGGAGTTATGGTCGATCTCCTCGGGGAGGGGGGAGTTCAGGTAGTCATCCAGGCGCTTGAACTCCCGCAAGAGGTTTTTCTCATGGACTGGAGAGTCAGAAACACAGATATATGTTATGTAATGTTACTACACGTAAAGTGTAAGTACTGTACATTTACTAAAATATTGTATTTAAATACTGATGTGAGAAGATTCAAGATTTCAATTTAGGTATTCTGAATGCCTGCCACTGAAATCAGTGAAAGGAGGTGGAAACACCACCAATTTTGTCCACAGGGATCGCCAATCGCAATCAACACAAAATGCAGTTATTGCTGCTTACAATTTTCTTAACTTATACAAAACCTAAGATAGGTTTATAAAATATAACGTATTGCAATTGGTTAATCTGATCATACAGAATATAAGTGACAATAAACTTCAACCACAACCAGCTACAACATGAAATGCTGCATACTCATCAATGTACTACTACTAATAATAATCCAATAAACTAATTTAAGGAGGCCTTTCTCTGTGTAAAGAGTACTTTTGATCACTGTTGGAATAAGTATTCATATCCTTTACCTAAATATCAATTGTTATCAACTTATTATTTACTTATTCAAATGTTAATTCAGCAAAATAAATACTCCTCATTAAGTAGTACAGTCCCATTTAGAGTGTTACTTTTATAATATTACATCATTGAATTGTCACTAATGCATAAGCATATAAGCATTTCAATATTGTAGTTGGTCAAGGTTGAGATACTTTATATGCTGCTGGAGTGTTTTCACCGCTGACTTTGAGGGGAAACCAACTGAATCCGACTCGGTGGCATGCATTAAAAATAACTATATAGAAAAAGCCAATCTTCTCACTGATGGGATCGGTGTTTATTTATGTCATATAGAGGCATCAGTATTAAACTGAGACTGATTCATAACCAGTTAAAAACTCCTTGTAGTCTATTAAGTACAGTTACTGTGCTGGAGTAAATGTACTTACTACTTACGTTCCACTACTGATCAGTCCTGTGATAATAATAATAATAATATAACTATTATATTATATTATAATATATTTTACTGAAGGTATGTCTGTCTATTTCTTTATTAGAAGAGCTCCAGCTTACAGGCGTTATTTGGACTGTTCTTGATGAAAGCAGAGAACTTTGCAAAAATGTCAGCGCCGACGTCAAAGGACTCTTTGTTTAGTGGGCTGAGATGAGGATACCTGCAGGGAGAGGAGAAAAGAGAAGCCTGGGAGTAAACTTGCTTAATGAGAAAATAACCCATCATCAAAATCTCACTTACATACATATTTGTTTAGCGATCAAGCGCAACAATACCTGGGAGGGGCCACTGTTTGTTCGAGAAACTCCTCGATTTTGATGAAGTCTGTTTTGAGGGTGCCGTTGTAGAGGAGGAAAGGAGGGTTCGTCCCTGGGGCCAGGTCTTTGAGCTCAGCTGGCTTCCTGGAGAGGACGTAGAAAGATGGAGAGGAATAAGGACAGAGAGTTGGGGGGGGGTGACATCCCACTTGTTTTTTTCATTCACTTCATTCAATCCGACTATTATCAAGAATTTAAAAACTGAGAGTGTGTCGCGTTATCGAGGCTTGTCAAGATCAAATGGAGTGGATTAATGATTTCAGCACTGGCTATTGGTTTAGTTATAAAAACACAGAGTGCTGGGAGTGGTCGCCTGTTCAGAGGCCTGTTCTGTGTGTGTTCTGAATCATTCAATTATCAGCATCCTTTCAGAGTTTCCTGATCTTATTTGCTCTGTGGCAATGGCCCTGAGAAATTCACACAATAAAGCCTCAATTAAAGAAGGTGTTTGTTTGAAAGAGCTCTTTGTACACTTTGGCTTAACGGGCTCCTCCCTCTAACCTGTGTTAGGCAGTGAGAAACACACCTTGCACCATTGATAAGTGAGAAATGGTTTGGATTACTGAAAAAAAAAACTTCTCATTTTCACTCTCATTTTGCTTGTTAATAGACTTCTGTGTGAAAGTCCCTATGACCAGATGCTCAGGAAATGATTCTGGCAGAGGAGGGGTGCTTACTTCCTCATGTCAACAGTGGTCACTGTAAACTTGACTCCTTTCAGCCACAACACCATGAAGAGCCTTTGGCAGAAGGGACAGTTCCCCACATTTTCACCATCATGTCCAGCCTGAAAAACACAGAAAGTAACAACATTTTATTTTCATGATCACACGAGTCACAAATGTCACAATATCTCTTCTCTTCCCTTCTGCGGACAAACAAGTGGAAGCGAAAGGCGTGTCTGGGTTATTTAAAGGCAGTTTCCTCCATGTTAGGGAAAAAGCAGGCATTGTGTTGTAACGGAAAACAGACGCTAACATTTGCTAACATCTCCTCCTTCTGCTAGTTCACAACATGACAAGATGGTCTGTTTAAAGGCCAATCTGTGCTTATCTGAGCTCCAGCTTTTAGCTTATATGTTGTTGTTAAAGGAATAGTTTCACACTATGAGAAATATGCTCATTCGCTTTCTTGCTGGAGTAAGATAAGAGGATCACTCTCATGTCTATAATGTGGAATAAATATGGAGCACCTGCCACCAGCAAGTTAGATTATTTTAGCATAAAGACTGGAAACAGCTAGCCTGGCTCTGCCCAAAGTTAACATAATCTGCCTACCAGCACCTCTAAAGCTCACTAAAAAAAACATTAGATCTTGTTTGTTTCTGTGCAAAAACTGAAGCATAAAACAACAGTTAGCTGTTTTATGGGGGTTAATGTACTGGACTGTGTCTTGGATGGGAGCAGTGATTTGGAATCTTGTCCATGCATTATCAGGAAATAGTCCCGCATGTAACAACCCATCTTGTTGTTTTTACACTTTTGTACAGATTAAAAAAACAAGATAATTTGTGAGATTTTGTTACCTCTGGTCAAAGCCAGGCTAACTGTTCCCCCTTGTTTCCAGTCTTTGTGCTAAGCTAAGCTAACTATACCATTATTACCATACAGAGATAAGAGTGGTATTAATGTTCTCATCTCACTCTCTGCCAGACAGCAAATAAGCACACTTCCCTAAATTTCAAACTATTCCTTGAAATGACTGAATGTTGAAGGTTTCATTTACGAAGAGACATAATATACTTTAGACTGCATATTGTGTTGTTTTTGAGCTTAATTTGACCTTGTTTTAAATCAGAGGACATTGTGTCTCTGCACAGATGCCATGAACAAAAACACATCACAGTAAAATAAACAGTAAGTGAATGAAAATAGACTCTGATGTCATTTTAAAGTTTGATATTAATCAACAATGTGAGGTGAGAAAAAAAAACTTGATATAGATGACTACATCTGAATGTGTGCGTATCTAAAAATGGGTGTGTCTGGTTCAGGCTGGGGCCCGTCATGCTGCATGCTCTGTGCTCCTTCTGGGTGAGTGGAGATAAGGTGGACTGTCTGTCTGTGGCCAGAGTTCACTGATAAAATGTGCTGTGACCCTCAGCAGGGATACAAACACTTCAGCATCTGTAGCACACGGTATCTGTAGATGGCACCCATCAAAATGAGAGTTGTCCTCTGATTGCTGCTCATACAGCATCATACTCTAGATAACAATACTTTAACAATACTGATAAGTGAGCAGCAAATCCTTGTGTGACTCATTTGTTTAGCTATATCTTTTCCCTTAAAAGAGAGGACATAAAACAGGCACATTTCATGTAGACTTATACACACAGTACATTATTTTGACAATGGATTCAGGTGTTATTGCAGTCTACAGTCAAGTTATTAGTGACATTAAAAAGAAATGACTGACCTTAATGAACAACTCGATGCTTGGCTCCTTGTCAGAGTTCTGCCGAAGTGCCATGTTGTCCCCAAAAAAAGTTTAATTCACTTTTTTAAAATCCCAAATACTTGCTTGAGTCAAAGCTTGTCTTTCAGTCAGTTGTTCACGGCACCCCAAAAAATCCCCAGAGCTGAAGAGAAGAACGCTGATAATACTGCTCTTGAACAAGTGCTGGTCTGGTTTTAAGTGTCTCTGTGGTCGTGGATGTCAGGAGAAAGTGAAACACTCGCGGCTGGTTGTGTTTTGTGTGAGGGGTCCTTGGAGGCTATCGCTCTTAACATACTTTACAAGTCAGGGGAGAGGGAGGATCCAGAGAGATGGGCGGGGTACACACTCTTATATATACGCAGAGTCAAACTCTATGGGGAGAGATCTTAAAATAGAATCATCTGTATTTTGCAATACACAGGAACTGATAAACCATGTGACTCACACAAATTCAGACAATTGATTTGGACCATTTACATTCCAGCACAGTTAGATATGGAAGGAATAATAGATTAGGAGGACTTTTCAAAGGGAGGCTGCACTTATTACAAAGCACCCAATGTATACTGAGGGACACTGGGAAACAGTAGAGACACCTAATCTAATTTTAAGTCTCACATCTGGTTGATTGAATAATGTACAGAATGTTTACTTTGGGTACAGGAATGTGAGAAACACCTGACATACAGTTTAAAAACAGTGTTTGTTGTAGTATATTTTTGCTGCAATGGTAAAGTAAACATTTTATAATTTTTTAAATGGCCATATGTATTTTTACACATGCCAGCAGCATGGCTATGGTCAGTTGGTTTATAACCAAAATGATTTACATTCCCATTAGCCTCTGGTGAAAATTAGACCTGCTTTAGTGCTATCTAGTGGTGAAGTTGTAGATTGCAACCAACTGAATACCGCCATTGAACAAACGCACCTATCTAAAGCCAATGTTTGGTTTAACATTGTGTTAGCATTATGAGCATGTTAGCATTTAGGACATACAGCTAGAATCTTTACCTTTACTGTGGTTTGCTACTTAATACTACTGTATTTACTGTCTTTTTTTCTGGGTATGTGTACACCATTAAAGCAATTTTAATCTAAGATCTATCTATTTAAGAGTACTGTATATGGAGAAAATTAAATTAATATAATAAAAATATAATTAATAATTTCTACTTTGACCTTGAAATGGGTAAAAGTAGCTTCAACATTCATACAATCTTGCATAAAGGTTAATGTTCCGTAATAATAATCTTCAATCCTTTATTTACATTTTACTGATAATATGTAAATGTTTTTAGCTACTACAAGATTAAAAGAAGAACTTCTGCTTGTTGTTGTTTCACATTGTGGTTCAATGTACTTTCACTTCAGTAAAATATCTGAATATTCCTACCAGCACTGAGTATAGTGTATATTAAGCTAATGTTTTAATGTTTTCTACTCTACGAGGTCAATATAGGTTATGTCATTCTTTCAAACAAACACAGTATATTTCAGGGGTATTTTGAATGAGTCATGATGAAGGGAATCTCCTCACTGCTTTGGGCATAAAAAGGTTGAGATGAAGGTTATTTCTGGCTTGTTCTGCATGAGTTGAGGCGTAAATAAAGTATTACAGAATCTTTTTGCTTTAGTTAAAGGCATATGGTATTATTTCCACTCAGAGTAAATAGTTTTATGTATAGTTTTGTATTTTCCATTCATTTTTATTTTATTTCATTTTACATTTTTGCTTTCAGTTCAGTTCAAGTTTCACTTAGTTTTCAGGGTGGGGTTGCTCACTTGAGTTTTCTATTTTAGTTTTTAGTATTTTCAGTTTCTTATTTTATATTATGATATGGGGGTATTTGTCAGGGCAAGATTTACAAGTTCAGTACACAATATCCTTCTTTGAAATTTCAGTTAACTAAAATACTTTATCACATCGAGTTTTAGTTTTTCTTTATTTTAGTTAACTATAATAGCATTGCACTGAATACAGTATATTCTGTAGTGATAAGTACAGCTGTTTTGGATGAATGAATATGACGGTTAACTCTTATCTTATCAACATAGGCTCTATTATGTCCTCTGGGACTGAGGACTGAGGGCTCAGTTCAGCATTGGTGTTTCTTGTAATATGGTATCACTTACAGTAAATAGGGGAAGGGAATTTTTATGACAAAATCCCCAAACTGCGGTGTGGACTTCTCTAAAGAAATAAGACCAGTAACATGAGCAGAATTATGCAATGCATCACAAGGAATTTCAAAAGAAGAGATACGTGGCTCTGAGCCATGCACTCTGTTTTACATGGCCCCGTGCCCCGTAAAACAGATCCATCACATTGAAATTACAAACAAATCCTGGAAATATGATGAATAACACTCGACCATCACAGGAAGTGTAACAGAGGCAGAGAAAGTTGTGAGACAAAACTGTATTCCCCTCTTTCCTTTTAAATGTCTTCAGAGAGTTTTTCAAATGTCTAAAATAAAATCTCCCTTTCTACGCGGTGGTACGACCCTTCCTTTCAAGATAGCCAGAGGGGTTCTAGGAATAATTAGTCACTTTATTGACACTTCCCATGGGAGGTAAATGGAATTTTATGGGAGTATAAGGTGGGAGGATCACTCTTACATACGCACAAAACTGAAACGTGGGCTTCTCCTTTTAAATAACCGGCCTCCATTATTACGTCCACTCCGCTGCTATGGAGGGAGTGTTTATTGGAGCTTGTGTGATAAATGACTGGAGTGCCATTCAGACATTAACTTTGATTCACACTCACAAGAACACTGATTATATCCTCAGCACTAGTGAATCACTTCCCATGTATTTTGTGTGAGTGTTTGGTTGGTATGACAACAGCCAGGGTTGAGAAAGAAAGGATATATAAAAGGGAAATTAAGGTTAAACTCACAGCCTTTATAGTAAACTGAAACCAACAGATTTTGGCTACACAGGGAAGAGAGATTTCCTGAGTTTGCCTGGAAAAGACACACAGTGGAAACACGTAACTTGCCAATGACCTGCCACTTCCTCTTCCACAGACAAATAGATAGGAAAGCCCTGTCTCATGGAGAGAGATACACATATCTCCTCTGGACACACACAGCAGCTGGAAGTGGCCTTCTGGAAAAAAACTACCGTATCTTCATAAACAGGAGCCTTGTTGTTGACAACCCAGCCACAGAGAATGAGTCTTGATTTTGTCATCACACACACACACACACAAACAAAATATTGAATGTGGCTTCTTATTTTGGTCTTTTGACAATTCTACGCAGATTTTTAGTATAGTTAAACATTTTGGATAACACAAGGGTTGAAAGTTGAAGTTGGAGTTCGGGGGTTATTAGCCTCGCAACCAGCCAGCCAAAGCAACACTGGAGCTTATCTGTCAGCTCTGTTCAAAGCAGTTCACTGGGATTGTTTTGTTTTTTTTATTGCTAAAAGGGGGGGGTGGCTGTTTCTTGTAAACACAATGGCATCATTGACCCACTCACCGCTCTCTCCCAACCAGTCAATAGTGCAACGACTCATTACAACAAAACCCCGGGGTCTGTCATTCAGGATATGCACAATGACAGTGCCATGGAGTTCTACGGCCTCTTCTTACCTCTTCTTCTGGCTCTGAAGATACGCACTGCACACTCAGCTCCTGATTTCTCTCGTAAGTTCATTGTTTTTGGCATCAATAATTTGCTTTTTCAGGAGAAAGTCGAAATGCTGACCCATTATTTTTCAGCTGTGATAGGGTTTGCAAAGGAAGCTTTTTAGGCATCCTCTAACTTTTTATGCACATCCTGCTTTCCAAACAGCTGTGGCAACTCATGTCGAAGTACCAGAATCAGGGTGCTGAACTTAGATCTTTACAGGTTAGGAACAGATACTCCCAAAGCATTAAATAAACTACAGTTGAGCTGTTTTGACTCTTAGCAATGAATTATGATGGATTATGTTACAGTAACAATGATCGATTCAGACAAAGCCAAAGGTGGCTTTTTTTCTCGGACACCTCCATTGTGAGCACTGCAGTGTACGTCTCTATCTGACCTCTGCAGACATTTCCATTTTTTGTGTGGCTGCAGGCTCTGAGGGGCCTAATAATAGTTCATTGTGAGGGAGTGCCTGGTACTGCCTCTCATTTGCTCCCTGAAGCTTCAAACTGCCTCTGTGGTGCACACACACACACACAGGAGGGGAGACTTCACTTCAGTGTCCATTTCTGTTGTCTTGTATGTTTGTATATGTGGTCATAGTCCAAATATTGTCTTGGAGAGCTACACCCAGTGACACCGCACTGTCGACAACCAGGGCTGAGCTGCAAAGACTAAAAATAGAATGTAATAAAGTCACACTATTGACTTGTCAATTATGGACAATGAAGGGCTTTTAAATTATATATTATTTAGTAATAATAATTGAGTGAACCAGTCATATCTGATTTCTTAACAAGTGAAAATAATTGTTACTAAAAAATCAAACCTAAAAACCTGAAAGTCAAACAGGAGTTATATATTTATTTATATATTTAAATGAGACAAAAGTGACACATTAAACCAGTGTCTGAGACCAGATATCAGCTTTTGTTTTACGCCACACTGTTCACTATTCACTGCAAGTTGCACTAATCATTTTCTTCCACCTGTACAGGCATACTAACTCTCCCACAATCAGCAGATAACATAAAAGTGAAATTAGCATCACCTTGTGTTCACTTTTAGTATATCTTCACACCATCCTGAAAAACCACACAGCTCACGCTTGTGAAGGACACACGCTCATCATCGAGTGTCCCTCCAGGACGTCTGTGGCCGTCCTATCAGCTTTCTATGGACGACGTGTTCCTAATCAACATCTGTGCCCCTCTGCAAACACAAACACAACCGTGGAGGAGGATACAGAGTGCACTTCCCCAGTTGCTATCGAGGTATTTACTGCACTGTAAAGCGCTGTCATGACTCACACAGCAGATGATCAACACATGTTTTCTCTCCCTCACAGAAAGTGCTGTCAGAGTGTCAGGATCACCGGTCCTGTCACATCCCGGTCTTCAGTCCAGTGTTTGGACAGGACCCCTGTCCTCTCACCACCAAGTACCTTCTAGTCTCCTACAAGTGTAGACCAGGTATGCTGCCAGGGTCCTGTAACTGCAACAGTCAGGGGGCCAACATTTCAATCAGTGGATTGTCTTTTACTTGTGTTGCTAAATGGATCGAATTAAGCAACCAGAATGTTGTGTTTCACACGTTCAAGCCAATTACTGCAAACAATGGACTTTAAATAAATGTAAACATACAGTGAAGCATGAAAGTTAATTCTTGACTTTAGAATTAGTAGTTAGACAAAACAATCCCTACAAGCTTTTTTCAGGGCTTTCAATCACGTCACACAGTCTTCATCAGCACATGGAGTTTGCTCAGTTGCCATGGAGATCAGTGGCTAATAAGTGGAGCTTAAGTTTAGGTTGTTTGTAAAAACAACTCTATCATTTAAAAACTATTTTCTTTGAGAACCATTACTGAATGCATCTTTTTTGACCTCAGGCAGCCATTTGGTTTCTGATCATTTCAGTATGAAAATCAACTTGTAGTGACTTGACACTTGGTTGAGATAGGCGATCAATCACAGTTAACATCATCTCTATTTAATTTGTTTTTTAATTGCATTTTCATTGCAATAACAAAAATTTAACTTAGACCGCTTTTTAATTCCAAAATGCCCCTTAAAGGTAAATATGGACATATTGTAGTAACACATGTAACTAAATTAATAAAGTTATCAAACTAAGAAACAATAAAGAATAAAAATTTGACTAAACAAATATCCAAACAAGCACAATTTATACTCTATAAGTGTCATTATTTTAATAAACTTTATTTTGATATTTTTTCTGGTTTCCTTTTATGTTTTATAGAACTTTTTTATACATTTAATCAATCAATCTTGTTGCAGGTTATGGCTGCCACACTCACATTTGGACAGATCTGATATGGATGCTGATGTCCACTGTGCTAGATTACCCATCTCAACCATTTCAATGTCTCTACATTAGATTTACAGACACAAATGAAACCAGCAGTTGTGAAAGAAGTATTCAGATATCTTAACTGAGTAAAAGAAGCAATACTACATTCAAAAATACTCTGAAGTTACAAGTCATCCAGTAAAAGTACAAAAGTATTAGAATGAAAAAGTACCAAAAGTCAAACCACTCATAATGTAGAATTTCCCATTTCACACAATATTGGACTATAATTATTAAATTTTTTTTGTTTAACAATCTTTATTGATCTTCTATTAACCATATATATGTTAGCAGCATATATTGAAAATGAAAGTGCATACAAGCATAGGACAGCTGCCTTATTCAAATGTGAAAGGTGGAATATAATTATTGGCTCATTAATGTGTTTATCACTTTAATGTTGCAGCTGGTAAAGTGGAGCTTAACTGCTGGGTAGCTTAACTTATAATAATATGTTAGCAATTGTTAGTAGTTTTTATATTTTGCATTAATAATAAAAATCTGCAAAATAACTAGTAATTAAAGCTTCCAAATAAATGTAGGGGAGTAAAAAGTAAAATGTTGTATAGCACTGTAAAATGGAAATCCTCAAGTGAAGTACAAGTACCTAAAAATTGTACTATAGTACTTAAGTACATGGTCTTTGTTACGTTCCACCAATAGAAACCAGTGGCTTAAAGGATTCTCAGCAGTAACATAAAATCAGTTATTCATAGTGATGAGCTAAAAAATATAAAAACATTAGTACAGAATGTTCCTTAAAGTTTCTTTACTAGATGTTCTTCAAAATCTGCCTTTCTGTAATTATGTGTGTCTACATTATGTCATCGTCTGTTTTTCAGAGCACCACCGCACAAGGCTGGTGTGTGAAAATGAGCGTCTGAAGCTGGTGTGTAAAAATGAGACTGTCCTCGCAATCTACTCCGCAACGTTTGGACACCTGCTGCACGGCAGTCCTTACTGTCCTCAGGAACCTGGATCACATACTGACATGGGTCTGAAACAGGGCACTTTGTTATCTATTTGCAAGAATAGTGGAACAAATATCAGTTGTATTGACACAGAGGAGATTAACTGGTGTTCCCTGTTCATCTGTTAATAATCATTAATGAAACAAAAGTTTATTTACGTATACACATTTTCCGTTCACTGGTGCATCTTCAGTAAGACTATTTAATCACAATTATAATGTTACTAATCAGAACTGACATTTGAGACCTGAATATAATGTTGCAATATTAGACTGATTACACTTATTAATTTGACTAAACTTAATTCATTATAGAGTGTTTGTCACCCTCGGCTCTGAGGAAGGTGTCACGCAGATGCCACGGCAGAGCTAACTGCTCAGTACTGGCCGATACTCAAACCTTTGGGGACCCCTGCTTCCCCGGCACCAGGAAACACCTGCGGGTGTCCTTCACTTGTGGTACGTGACGAACCGGATGTTGCTGCATGTGACTGATATGGTTTAATGCATCATGTAAAAAAACCTCTTAATTATCTCTTCAGTGCCCAAGTATCTTCTGGAAGATGTGGGTCGAGGGTCAACAGATCCTTTCATGATCTCAGACTACACACATGGTGAGAGTAAGACTGAAAACAGGCTTTGTTGCATGTAGCAGACTTTGACTGGCGTCTGAGCCCAGACCCCTCTCACCTGCAGGTGGATGGTACACTGGCCCCACCTACAGGCCTCAAAACGTGCTCTTAACCAACTCTCTGGAGATCATTGAAAAAATGTTGGGTATGTGCACTGAAGCCTGTAGACCGCAGGCTAGGGCTGCATGTACATTTCTTATCATTGTAGATCATATTTAAAAAGGGCCATACAGATGTTTTAGCATCAGTGCTGAGTCACATCACATTAAAGGTACATAATTATGAGCCTGTTAAAGCATATTTGTGTGTGTCTGTTTCTGCACAAACTGAGCATATTAAAATATAGATTTTCTATATAGTAGTACAGAATGTGCAGTCATATTTTGCATTACTGCTGACCATTTTCCAAAATATGCTATAGTTAAAGGTCCAGCATGAAGGATTTAGTGGCATCTAGCTGTTGATCACAACTCTGTTGCTTCACCCTCCCTTTCCGAGCAAAAGCTGCAAAATTCACGAAAAACGTTAAATTAAAAATAAAAATACGAGTAATTCTAAGGTAACAAACAACAATTTCTATATTCAGGTGATTATACACTATATAATATAATCCAAACACACCATATTATGCTCCAGTTTTGCCAATAGATCCTCCTAAATGTTACACACTGGACCCAGTGATCAATAACTTATTTTGATTGAGTTTAAAGCCTCTGTTGACTTGGCAATGTAAAAACTTACTGCAGTTTTAGGTAAATTGCCACGGTAATGCAAAATAGTCAATAGTATGGCTATAGATGTTTAATAGGACGTTCAACTGTAAATCTGCTGAGTTTTACAGATTACACATTTTGAATTTAGTTTGACTTCTTCCAGGTCTCCCAGAGCGAGTGGCTCTGTACTTTGTCTCTGGTATCTGTGCTGGTCTGGTTTTCCTGCTCTGCCTGTTTGGTCTCCGCTCCACAATAGTGAGGGATGTTAAAGGTCTGGTTTCTGACCTGAATGATGAGCTGAAAGCATCTCGCAGACAGCGCAAGGAGCTCATGGAGGACCTCTTTGACGATGAGGTCTCAGACACGTCGTCCTTCTGTCGCCTCACACAATCCTACCGCACAACAGACATCTTAAGTCCCTCCACTCTGACAGTAGAGATGGTCGATCGCGAAGTGGAACAGACGAGGGATCTGCCCAACGGAGACATTTGGCCACATCGAGACTCCAGCCCTTATGCCATTCATAAGATTAAAACCTACAACAACTGAGAGAAGTCACATATATGAGTGAAACTACTATTAAAGCATCTTCTGCTATGAAATTTAAACTGTGGAATGAAATTACACAAATTAATTTACTTTTAAAGCAATTTAACTACCTCTGTATCCATGTGTTGTCATTCATGGCAAAGTAACTCTAAACAATAAGAAGTGAAATACATGAAATCTTAATGAACTAGGTTAGTTACAGTGATTAATAACATCAGACGATTTGTTAAATGCAACAGTATTTTATAAAATAACAGAGGAGCTAATTTTCTGCCTACATTTGTTTTGGTTAAAGGATGCCATGTAAAAATTTTGAACCCGTATAATAAAAATAAAACAAGGATTGTGTTAATTGTGGTCTGTTTAAAGTGTTTCTTCTGTTTAATGTTTCACAATTAACACTTGAAAAGTTAAAAAACTAATGCACAATGAACCTGACAAAAGCTTTAAGAGTAGGCTAAATGTTTGTTTTAAAGATTATTGGTGTGTTAAATTGGGACAACACACATACAGTTTTAAACAGTAGTGGAAGAAGCACTCAGATCCTTTACTCACTACCACTGTAAAAATACTCTGTTACAAGTAAAAGTCAAAATGTACTTAAAAAGTAAAAGTACTCACTATAGGCCAAATAAGATAGGATAAGATAAGATTAAATAAAATAACTCTGTAGTGATCCCCAGAGGACAAAAAACAGTTACATTACATTAGACCAGACCAATACAATATGATCAAGTAATGATATTTAATGTTTGTCTGTATTAATGTAGAAATATATATATAATACTACTTCATATAACCTCCTATGAAGCATTACATAGTTATAATATAGCCTAATAAAACAGTATAACACATTAACATAGTAGATCATAATATAGTGTAAAATAATATATAATACACAAAATATCAAATAAAATATATGGTATAAGTAGATTATAGTATAGGCCAAATATATAACAACATATATAATGTAAATATAAACGTAAACATAATTTAATACTGTATAATAGGTTAAATCTTCACAAAAGATATTTTATTCATCTTATGCACACAAGATAAATTGTGAAAAATTACACACAAATTATTGTGTGCAACGAGACAATAGATGAGGGTGTGTGGAAACTATAACTACTTTAAACTATAACAAGGCATCATGTGTAATCAGCTGATCATAAACCAAAGTAAACAGCAGTTAAATAAATGCAGTGGAGTAAAAAAGCACTATAAATACTTGTAGTGGAGTATTAAAACAAAGCAACATAAACTGGATATAGGTAAGAAATGTAGTTGCAGTCACTCTCCCCCACCTGTTTTAAATACAGCGAGTTAATCCCAAAGAGTTGACACATGTATTAACAAACCCTGGAGTGTATGAATCTAATATGAAAACAATCAATTCAACGTTAACTCACCACATGAAGCTGCAGTGTTGGTGTCATTTACCGACAGTCAGTCTCCGGTCCACACTCCGCGGCAGAAGGTGGCGCTATGAGCCTCAAACAAGCTGCCAGCCGCCGGGAAAAGTGAGGAGGACGAAGCCGAGTCTACGAATAAGTAAGCAGGGAGAGAGACCGAGGAAGGTGGGTCCACACCGCGAACTGTCTACCGGAGCAGAACTACGAGCTACATCTCACACAAACTACCCGACATGTAGTGCAGTAGAACAGAGGAGAAGCCGGATATCGTAAGGGTTGTCGTCGTGTTGTGTGCGGACACAATGGCGCACACTCGGCTCTGTTGAACATTTGTAGCAACATCAACATCTGGCCGACAGGCTAACAGGCGGTTAGCATTAGCAGCAGTGGGTTGAACAGCTGCTGTCTGTCTGTCTGTCTGTCTGTCCGGAAGGCCGAGTGGGGATTTAACTTTCTCTGTCCGTGTCTGGACTCACCGACACACAGCCGCCGGTCAATGATACACTGATATTTATTCCCTGTCGGTAAGCATGGAGTCCTCTTTGGGGATATGCGACGAGGAGTGCTTGGCGATATCCTTTTTGTTGAATTAAGTTACAGCCTGTTTTTTTGTGTGTGTTGTTTTTCTTTCTTTCTTCCCTCTCCGTTTTGTTTTAGCTCGTCGGCTAACGTTAGCTTCACTCAATCATTTACATTTGTTAGCTGTATTATTTATTGGTACAGTTAATATCGCTACTAACAACACCAATGTGACCTCTCTCCTTGAACTAATGCTAGTTAATTAAACCCACTTGTTCTTTAATAACGTTAGCCTTCACTTTGTTTTGTTTTTGGCTGCCACTAATCACCTTACACAATCAACTGCTAGTTAACTAATAACTTTATTAATAATGCCTTTTGTGACTTGAAATTTGTCACATTTAATTTTGCCTCCTAATTTTCAACAAGCATGGCTTCTTCTAACAGAGGTGATACCCTGTGAGCACTTTACTGTCTAATCCAGAGGCAAGTCTGAAATGAAAGGGACCCTGCCTGGGGTTAATTTAAATAACAACTCGGTGCCTGTGATGTCCAAGCGCCTTTCTCATCCTCAGTCCAAATAATTCCTTGATTGTGATGCTCACACTGTAAGAGGTCAGGAGCTGAGGGCTGGCCAGAGGGAGCCCAGACTACTGTCACTAATTGAGCGCAGTGGAGAGTTTATGTAAGTATCCGACTGAAAATGTACGCATTGTTTGTCGGCCAGTAGGTGTAAAGTCAGTGATGTGAGTATGAAGCAGCTCTTTATGTGGTCATCTGCAGCTTCCCCTGTCTTTAGCTATTGCGTAATACTGATCAAATCAGGCTTTTGACAGTTGTTTCTGTGTTCGGAGGTATTTATTGCTGTGGTATATCTAAAGCCTGGCCTTTTATTGGGGCCTATTTTATATTTTCTTCTGCCTTTGATTGACATGCATATATCAAGATGTTTCGAAATACAATCTGTTGTATCGAAAAGGTGTGTACCATGATAACGCCACACCGACTTATAAACCAGATGATTTAGATCCCAGAGAATGATTACTGTGATTGAGGGTTGGTTGTCTTATCTAATGGACGTTAGTTTTATACAGTGAATGACATTGCTTCAGCATTTTAATCGCAATATTATTGCAGGCACTTTGTGTGGCTAAATCAACCAGGTCAGGCTTGCAGTCAGAAAAATAGGAAAACTGCAGCATTTTCAGATGAAAAGGCAAGTTTTTTTCCTCCTCATGACCTGAAAGAAATGTTTAATGTTACAGTGTTTCAGTAACTCTCAGTGGCAGGTATCAAGCAGCCCGGCTGAAATCATTTAAACCCCGCATGGATCAGTGACTGTGCAGGTCGGCTGCAGAACAGTGCTGCCCATGAGGCTGTAGTCATTTGGTTCAGTGTTACATGAGCAGGATTTTAACCCGGGTCTTGGCAGCTTCAGCATTTGTTTTGTGAAAGGGGATGTTGTGGGAGACAGCAGTGGGTGTGTTAAACCATCAGCGCTGTTTGTGTTCGTAGCAGGTTGTGGCGTGCAGCAGTGTGAGGGAGCAAGCAATTACACCTACCAACAGCCAGCTCACTTTGCATTATCCAGAATTCCTCCACTTAGTCCTGGACCGTAATGAGACTCACATGGGCACACAAGCTCCATCCTCAGCTGACTGCGTGCAAACCAAAACAAACTCAACTCCACTCTGACTCTGAGTTATGGAGACCAGGTGCTGTCAGGGTTTTAGTTGGTGCTGTACAGATATTGTTGGCATTTCTGGAATAGGGAGGAATTGTTCTTTATCACGGGATGAACACAATAGCACATTACAATGCAACAAACCTACAGTAAATACTAATGTGAAACTGTCTAAATGTTTTTAACTTAATGTTCATGTTTGAGTCTTTATATTAGTATTAATCTGTGTCAGTCTTATGATTTTCACAGATTTTGCCACTGATGCACCAGCACTTATTTGCAGCTATAATAAAGATATAAAAACAACTATTTTAAAGCTATTTTTAAAGGTGACATAAGCCGGTTTACAAAGATGACAGGTTATAAACCATAATCTCAGAAATAAACATCAAGTTGAAGCAACATGTCTGACAGTCTCAATTAAAACATCCCGAGCTTCAACACAACATTTGGGTTTGAGTCAAGGCTGTTGTATTGTGAGGTGTTTCTATGATTTTGTCCCTAGAGGAGGGGATGTTCTCGTTGCTGATTGTCATGTATTTTACGACATCAGAGGCACTCGTGCTGATTCACGGAAACTGCAAGTCCTTCTGACACATTGAGTCCAGGATGTCTGAATCATTTTCCTCTCTTCAACAGTAATCAGAATTAGTGTGAAGTGGAGGGGAAACGTGGGCTTTGGCCAGCGTGCTGCTTTGACCCTGGCTGTTAGTCAGCCATTGTTAGAAAGTGAAATATGACCCCACCTACATTAACCCACATCACAGATTTGAAGCTGCTTATATTGACTTAATGACCCAAAGTGTAGCTCCAGCAGACTTTAGTCAACAAAACTCTCGTTTGTTAATCCATTTTGTGCCATTGTGTCTTTGTTCAACTAAAGTAATTTAGCAAATTAGACTAAAGGAGACTTTTGCATGTGTGCATGTGCATTTCAGATTTTTGTAAATCTTAAATTCACATTTTAATCACCTGATAATTATAATCTAACCCTAATAGTACATTTACCCCATTTTGCATCTCAAATGTTCAGCTATTCTAATATTTTCATACTGAATGCTGTGCATGAAACAGTTTTAATTGCAAGAAAATGGCTGTTATGAGGAAAACATTTCTTCTTCTTCTTTCTTCTTTATTAATACTCTTAAGTGATATTAAAACATCAAAAAGCTGAGGTTAAGAGGGACTAACTGGGAGTGCTGTTCTCATACAGATTGGGTGTTTTGGCCACCCCTGATGCTGTTGTGTCTCGTCCAGTGCCTCAGCTGTCTATACCCATCAATGGTAATTTTGAAATTGTGCGAGGTATGTGACCTTTTTTGTCCTCCTCAGATATACGGTACTAACTGTTTTGGGTATGCCAGGTTTAATCAAATGTTGAGGATATTTTAAGTGGCCAACTGCTGCAAACTATTCTTCATTTATTTGTATTCTTCTGAAGATTTCTGGCCAATAGAAGCAGCATGTTTTTAAAGTTGACCCTCACCTCACTCTCTCTAACTCACTATGCATAGGAGTGTTTCTGTTTACTTAAGGTCACATGACAGTGGTGTAGAAGTGAAAGTCCAGGGAGCAAAATTTGAAAATCAACACACAATGAATAGAGCCTATTGAAGTAATTTATAACTCCTCTGCTTTACTACAACAACAGACCTTTGAACCACATGGGCACCGTATAATCCGTCTTTTCTCTTTCATTTCAGAGGCAGAGGACGCTCTTCTTATTAACTTCTCAGTAGATTGTAAGTACTTTTTTCCATTTGCACTAATTCCATTTTGGGCTTTGTTTTCAAACTGCCAAACTGAGATTAAGTAGAAAATATGTTGTTTTGGTCCTTCAAGCAAGAAGCCGGAAAGAATGATTTATTGTGGGAACAAAAGAGAGCTAGAACATGGCATTTACTGGCTCACAGTCCCTGTCCAACCATACCACATTTTTAGAGCATGCCTTCAGCCAAATGTCTACATCCTTTATTTAGCAGCAGACGCGGGTCATGAGTTACCAGGGTTCTCTGAAAGAATGCTGAATTGTCTCACTATTAAATCACTTTGCTTTGTTTTCTGGACAGTCTGCAGTTCTAATGTGTTTTGCTAGTCTAAAGGTGTCCAACATGTGTGTAAGTGTGTGTGTGGTTTTTCCTGTGCCCTTTCTCAAGCCTGCATTAGGATACGAATCAAAGGAGAAAAAGCCCCAGAGTTGCTGTTGGAACTCCAGGACGATGATCGGACTCAGACTTTCCTCACCCAGGTGAAGAGTGCTCAGCAGCAAGGTAAGGCTCCACCGTCTGTCAGTAGTCTAAAGCAGTGGGGTGATTAATTATTTAATCACTCATCTAAGATTTATTCAGCAAGGGTGGATTACACCGCTCGCTGATTTCCTGTGTGTTCTCGCCACCCACACTCCGGTGGAATGACTCATTTGGCTGCACATTTTCAAATCATATCCACGTTTAAAGGTGCCAGCCCACCTCTGTGAAAGCAGCAAGAAAGGACTAAAGCTTACCTCAGTATCCTTTCATTCTTGTTTATGTTATGTTTAAGCCATATATGTGGTAATTTTCAAATGAATGAGTAAACTGTACGTTTTTCATTCACCAAAAATACAAGATGTCACTGGCCTTGAGTGCAAGGAGCAGCGTGCAATAACAGAATTCCTGAGAAGTAGTGGAAATTTCTCCCTGGGAGCATTTAGAGTTAGTAGAGGAAAGGAAAGCTGATACATAGGGCACAGATATTGTGTTACAAAACAACTCTTAAGGGTCTTCAGTGACCTAATCCAGACACGTGACTGTACAATGGAGACGTGTAAACTACTGTAGGACCTGTCTTTATCTGTGCCCCTCCCTTAAGAATGAAAATGCAAAATGTATTTACTTAACTTGGAGCTGTGCAGGCTACTAATAGCTAGCCTGTTCGCTGTTCACAAAAGCAGACGCTGGTTACATTTGATGTTGCAGCTTAATAAACCTTTAAAAATTAACACCACCTCAAAGTACAGGATGGGTATGAAATGTTTATAGCTGTTCTGCATCTTTTGGATGGTATTAAAGATTTTGTTAGCGAAAAGGCAACGTGATCTTGCATCACACACACGCATATGATGGTAAAAGAAAATCATGTTTAGATGATAACTACAGAGTTAGTTGGAGTTATCATCAGTCATGCAGACATCCCAGTCTCAATAAACATATGCACCACTGGCTCCTTACGATTGTTGTGTTGACAAATTGACAAAGAATAAAACCCTTAGCTGGCATCTTCTACTTCCTATTATGACAGTATTGCTCTTCTGGGTGTTGGCTCATTTTTATCTGTGTTCATGTGTACATTCAGAGAGGTCCGTTGAAACAGGATGTTAACTGACTTACGTAAAGTCAAACGCTGTGTCTAAAATCATCCACTCACTGACTTCTGTGTAGAGGTCTATAAAATGGACTCATTGGCAAAATGAAAAAACACTTTCAGACACTCCTCAAGTAATTTTGTCGGTGCAGCAAAGTACATCATTGCAGCCATGGGTTCGAGTCCAGCCTGTGGTGTGTCATCTCCTCTCTCTCTCTCCCTTTCCTGTCTATTTTTGGCTGTCCTGTCCATTAAAGTGAAAAAGCCCCAAAAATTTAAAAAAACAAATGATGATTCCACAGTATCCTGTAGATGGACTATCCATAATAAATACCAACAACATGCAGTTTTGTGATAAATGCATGATATTATGCAGTATTAGTGTATGTGAGTATTTTCACATTTTAGTAAATATAAAATATTTTGTGTTCATCATATTTAACATTATTTTTGCACCACAACTCATGAATTTGTCTTATGCCTGACATAATGAGGCAAAAAACTAACTATAGTCCATCTAAAACACTTAAAATCTCAACAATCATTCAGATATTTTTGATTAGAAGAAACGGAATTCCTCGACAGAGAAAACTAAGACCTGCTGCTCTTTATACACTAGCAGGACGTCGTCAAATTAAATGTGAAAAGATGAAGAGAATGCTAGGCCTTTACATTTATATTTACAATAGATATAGACTGTACATCATTAATGAATTCTGTGTTCTGTTAAGACTACACCTCCTCCTGGGGAACCTTAAACATGGCACAATTTTGTTTACAGATCACATACAAAACTCTTACAACAGAGTGTGATTGTATTAGTCACATAGCTTTAAGTCACATATTTCATGACACTGTTTTATAAGTTTTAATGTCTTAGAGTGAAACTGAAAGTTACTCACATTTGTATGACAAATTTGAATTCTTTTCTTCTCCTCCTCTCTGCCATTTTTGCGACAGCGCAATCCATGATGGTATATAATGCATGGTTAGTGACCATCGGTTGTACACTACTTTTCACAATGCACTGTGGGATACTTTGAGTCCACTATATAGGGTGTAATATTTCTCACAGCACCACAATATAATGCACTGTAATTCTATCTTGAGCAAGCTGTAGCACCATTATTGTTTATTTTTGGCACGGCTTAAGATAAGCTCTGCTCCTTCTGCTGGAGTAAGATTGTGTTGAGTCTTGACAATGGTGTGCTCCCTTCTGACAATGGTTTCAAATTTTCCTAGTTCAATCCAAACTCACGAAACCCAAAGCGATGGAGCCCCCTGCACCAGCAGCCCTGAGAGGTCCAGTTCCCATCCCACCACAAAGAGCCAACAAAGTAGGCTCTGGAGTCAACCCACCCAAATCTGCCAGTGCACTGCCTCCTGACCGCAACAATGGCATGTCAACAAATCAGACTAGAACAGGTAATGTACAGATACATTGTCTTTACATTTAGAATATTCCAGCAGAAAAAATAAATGGAAGCTACTTTAAAACCAAACATATGTCTCCGTTATCATCTTAGTCTTTGTCTTCCAGATTAGTTTCTGTTGCTTTAAGATTGAATCCTCTGCTTCTGAACTTACTGTTTCTGAAGATCCAGTTCAATCACTGGCCTCAGACTTTGGCTTTGAGGAAAACTTCAACAACTCTCTGAAAGTGGAGGAAAAGAAGAACCATCAGAATCGCATTGTGGCCTCTAGGGATCCTCCTCCTGTTCCTCCTCTACCTCCTCGCAAAGCCTCCTACACTCCATCCAATCCTCTGCCTCCTCCACCAGTCCCTAAAGACAAAGCTGTCTCCCTACAGGCCAAAGAAAACTTCATCAGTAGCACCAAAACAGAGTAAGTTGACCTTTCAGGAGACCGTGCCAGGTTTACTGGAAACACTGGAAACTGGTATTTCATGGTTGAAAGCACATTATCTCAAAGTTAAATCGGTCTAAAATATTGCTGTTATTAAAGAATACCCACTTTTCCAATTCCAGAAGTTTCCGGTCAGGCTTTGACCGCGTGGAAAGGCAACCATCTTGGTGCGACAGCCCCACCACCAACAGCATGAGACAGTCTTTGTTCTCCAGCCAGGCAGGACAAAGAGAATACCTCATCAAACACCGCCTGGGTAAGAAGGAGAAGGAGTATGTGGACATTGTGACCTTCAGGTGAGAGGAGCCTCTTTATTTTGTATATTTATTCATATATGTTGTTTTTGTTGTGTTGATATTGAAATACACTAATTCGGAAATGCTGCTCCTGCACACATTAACCCTACACTGCATCTTTTTGTGTCTTTAGGTTTTTCACAGGTACGTGGAATGTGAACGGCCAGTCTCCAGACAGCAGCCTTACACCGTGGCTCTGCAGTGACTCAGAACCTCCTGATCTTTATGCTATTGGGTCAGTAAGAATTTATTATACATTAGTTATCTGAACATGAAGTCATACGTGTTGTCTGCTGCGTCAGTAACATCCAGTATGGTGACTTTATGACTCTAGTTTTCAAGAATTGGACCTCAGCAAAGAAGCTTTCTTCTACATGGATTCGGCCAAGGAGCATACGTGGATAGAAGCTGTGGAGAGGGGCTTGCACCCAAAAGCCAAGTATAAGAGGGTGAGTACAGAAAGACTATGACTCTTTCCACATATCAAAATGTCCTTGGGCAAGACACAAACCCCAAATTTCTCCAGATGGTCAAACCAGCACCTTGTATCCTAGCCCGCTGCCATCTGTGTGTAAATGCAGCCCTTTTCATAAGTGAATGCTGTCTTAGACTGTTGGGCCCAGTCATGTTGAAGCATTGGATAAAGGTACTAAATTAACTAACTTTGTGCCTACAGGTTCAGATCATACGACTAGTTGGGATGATGCTTGTGGTCTATGTCAAAAAGTCCCTCAAGAATCACATAAGAGAAGTGGATGCACAGCATGTGGGCACGGGAGTCTTGGGAAAAATGGTTTGTTTACACTCAACTCAGATGCCTCTTAACACATATAGTAATAGACTATTGCTCAGTGTATTCTGATTACAGTATTTACAATATACTACATTTAGCTTATGTCTGATTTATTTGATATTAAATAACCTTATTCCTGCATGTATTTGCCTAAATTAAAATAAATGGTCTGCTTAACTGGCAAACGTTTTTTGCAGGGGAACAAAGGAGGCGTAGGAGTAAGATTTGTTTTCCACAACACTACCTTCTGCATCGTTAACTCCCATCTAGCAGCACACGTGGAAGACTTTGAGCGCCGCAACCAGGACTATAAAGACATATGTGCCCGCATGACCTTCGACGTACTGGACCAACCCCCTCTCAGTATTGTAAAGCATGAGTGAGTTCCTCAGTCATTCATGTCCGGAGTGAGAACATGGCCCTTGAGTAATGTGCAAAGTTCAGTTTTTACACTAATGGGTTATGTTTGTATCATCAGCTTGAGGTTTTGCTTATTTTGCGTGTAAACATTTTTTCCACATTTCCCACGTTCTGCAATACTCAATTAATTCAGTGAACAAAAGCTCTTATAACTTCAAATGAATCACTGTCAGTGTCGTAGCTTTACAAACATGAGCTACAGAGTACAATTATTTTAGTGTTTGTAAGGATATCAGAACCAGAAACAGGTTTATTGCCAAGTAGGTTTGGACATACAAGGAATTTGCCTTGTTATATTGGGGCATAACAATAAACATAGTATGAAAAAAATAGTACTACAGGTACTGCAGTCTAGAAGCATAAATAACATGAAAAAAATATTATAAAGACAAGAATAATAATATTGTTTTAAGATATCTCTGTCTCTTTTTGTATTTCAGTGTCGTAATCTGGCTCGGGGATTTAAATTATCGTCTGTTCATCTCTGATTCTGCTGAGATCAAACAGCACATTGCTATGGGCGAGCTAAGAAAGCTTCAGGAGGTTGATCAGGTAAGAGACTGATACCTGGCTCAGGGTTTTCTTTAAACTGTTGTGCACTCACAACCACCAGCCAAATTTCCTCTTTAACTCTGTGTGCTAGTAATAATACATAATAAAGGTTTCTGTTGTGACTCGTTAAAATGTTTTTCCTTTGACTTTTTAATGTGTAGCTGAACATTCAGAGGCAGACAAAGAGAGCTTTCACAGACTTTATGGAGGGAGAGATCAACTTCATTCCCACATACAAGTACGACCCCAAAACGGATCGATGGGACTCGAGGTAAAACATCCCTGTGTAGTATTTTGGTTGAATACACAAACTCACTGCCATTTTATTGCTATTGGCAACTTGTCTTCAGTTTTAGTTTTTCTTCTTTGGAATCCTGATTAAATTTTGCCAGTCAGGAGGCTTTTTCCTGCCTTGTCTTTACACTATTACAGAGTCAGCAGTACTGTATGTGTATGTGCCCCTGATGTCTGGCCCTAAAAACTGAAAATGTTTCCTGCAGTGGCAAGTGCCGAAACCCAGCTTGGTGTGACAGAATCCTTTGGAGGGGCAACAATGTCAAGCAGCTCAGATATCAAAGTCACATGGAGTTGCAAACTAGTGACCACAAGCCTGTCAGCTCCCTCTTCAGTATCGGGGTAAGAAGCTATGTTGTCAAATAAAAACATGCAAAGTGCTGCTATTAATTTTGACAATATGTATGACTTTGATGTAGTAAATACTTTTTTACGGACAAATTGGAACCTTGTGTTTGTGTAACAGGTTAAGGTTGTAAATGAGAGCCGCCACAAAAAGGTGTTTGAGGAAATTGTTCGGGCGATGGACAGATTGGAGAATGAGTTCCTTCCATCTGTATCTCTGAGCAGAAGAGAGGTAAAAATAAAGTCCTCGCATACACATGCACTCATCATATTAAGGGTCTGTCTTATGTTTCTCCCTCAGGGATATAATATCAGGCACAAATCACTAATTACTATTAAAACAGAGTAGCCTGTTGTAATTTCTCTTAAAATGTGTAGGTTAAAGCTACTGGCAATCTGTGATTAATATTTCCTCTCTTTCCCTGTCCTGCAGTTTACATTTGAGAATGTGAAATTTCGGCAGCTTCAAAAGGAGTCCTTCCAGATAACAAATGACGGGCAAGTCCCCTGTCACTTCGCCTTCATCGCCAAACTCAATGATGCACAGTATTGTAAATCTTGGCTCCGTGCTGACCCAAGCAATGGATTCTTAGAGCCAAGTAAGTCCTTTCATCTTAAGAAATTCCTTGAATTTTAGATCTGTGATCATGTTGTATCTTGACTGTGGCTGATGAAATGTAAAGCGAGATTATAAATTTAGTTTTATATCTTCAGGACAGCTTTGTACTGTCATTTCGAATATAGTAAAGGATCTTGTCATTCATCCTGTTCATTGTTGCAATTGAACTTAATATTGCATTTTTGGACTCCCTTGTAATGTTTAACAAGGCAGCTTGTATGAAAAAGTGGATAATCAGTGCTCAAAAACAACAATAGATATTTCCTTGCACAAATGTTCCTTTATTTTTTTAATATCCCTTTATTTTACATTAAAATCTGCTGTTGTTTTCATCAGAGTTCCTCAGAAAGCTGGGTTTGTGTTGAACCTCTTCCTTATCTTCCTGAGCAGATGAGACCCTGGAGATCTATCTGGATGTGTATGTCAGTAAAGACTCCGTCACTCTGCTGAACTCTGGAGAAGACACCATAGAAGACATTCTGGTTCTCCATCTGGACCGTGGCAAGGACTACTTCATTACCATCTCTGGCAACTACCTGCCCAGCTGCTTTGGCACCTCACTGGAGACGCTGTGCCGCATGAAGAAACCCATCAGAGAGATCCCCATCACCAAACTCATTGACCTGGTGAGGTTTGATAGGATTAGTGGACAGAGACATATTTTCTTCAGATTCACAGAGCAGTGTAGCTCAATATTGTAATCCAATGGCTGTTCCTCACTCTGTAGCTGTTCACTACCTGAAACCTGAGTGGGAACGTGTGAGGGCTTGTTCACCCCCTCAAGGGAGCTCAGTCACACACAGAGCCTAAATTTGGAGAGCATAAAATGTCTCAATCTGTATATTTATGGCCAAGAGGGGCCAAGGGAACGAGGAAGTGGCAAAAACATAGGGAGGGAGCTCCTAAAGAACAGGGAAAACTGACTCAGGTTAGGCCCAGATTAGTGCTTTTTATAAATAGACAACTCTGTCTTCACACATTCACCTCTGTCTGTTTCCATAAAGCTATTTTTGACTTTATCTGATTTGGCTTTGGCATATAGTGCTACTATCATTCAGTACCATTTCTAAAAAAAAACTATTCTGTTTTCCTGCTCATTTAGTTAACTTGATCAATGATTTAATGATTTATGCAAGAACAATCCATAATCTATCAACTTTTCTGATTCTGTGTTTATGCAATCCACTTCTATCTACTTCTTTTGTTTCTCTTCATCGCCTCTCCTTGCCTTGATCCTTCCTTTCCAATTCTTCACTGTGGTTGTGGGCTGCCTTCCTGCTCAGGGAGAGGATAGCTACATGGAAAAGGTAAAATATTAACTGATACTGATCAGCTATCAGAAAAATCAAGGTTAATATGACCTTAGTCTGTGTGATCAAGTATCTGCTTTCTGACACTTTATTGACCTTCCTCAATTGTTCTTGTCGTAAAAGGAAACTTGTTCGAGTATTAGAATCGTTCATATGTAGATACAGTGTCAACAAATGCCCCAGTGTAGGCTACGTCCCGTTAATGTGGGACCTTAAACATTCGCATACTGTAGTAGATTTTTTTCTTTGTGAGGATTTGATGAGAGGTTAGATACCAATTTCATGTCTGTATGTTAATCATGGAGCTAGAGCTGGGAGCTTAGCTTTGCAGAGGGAAACAGCTACCCTTGCCCAAAAAAAGCCTTGTGTTAAAACGGGGACTGCATCAGTGGGGGCCTGTCTCAGGAAGTCCAGTTGAAGTAATACGTCCTTGAGTTTGAAGGCTTATCAGATGGTGAAATGCTGCAGACAACAATTATTAACATTGTAGGGGTATTTGTAAGTTTATTTATTAGCTGAAGGAAGGGGAGGAAAGAGAGGTTGGGTGACACGCAGCAAAAGGCCACAGGTTGAATTCAAGCCCATGGCCGCTGCATCAAGGACTCGGGCTTGGTACGTAGGGTGCCAGCTCTACCAGGTGAGCTACAGGGCACCCCGGTGAGTTTATTTCTGAACTTTGGACAGAGCCTGGCTAGCGGTTTCCCCCTGCTTCCAGTCTTCATGCTAAACTAAGATAATCGCCTGCTCGCTTTAGCTCTATACTTAATGCACAGACACAGAAGTAGTATTGAAACTCTTAGAAAATAAGTAACAAAGCATACTTCCTTAAATGTTGGACAAATAGTCCTTTTCAGCTACAATATGTCCCGCCGACACTTACCTGCTGATTACACCTTAGGTTGATTAAAAAGTGGCTTCACTAGCTAATCAGAAAATTGAATCCGTGCACGCTCGCTCTACATTTCAGAAAGCTGACAAGGGCAACAATTGGTAACCCTGAGGCAATCACAGAGCAGACCGTGCCAGCTTAGTTATAAGCTGTGTGTGTGGATCAGTCACCCATTAAATCTCCTCTGGCCCACTGAGGACAGGGTACACCAGCCCAGTGAAACGTAGACACACGCCAACACACTAAATCTCATTTACCAGCAGGTCACCCTCACTGCACAGATCCCCCATACACATGATTAAAGCTAATGAGAAGAAGTATTAAGGTCTGTTCAGCGAAGCTCTAACACTCCTATGAAGCCAAACGACATATCTCCTCTTCCATTTCAGAACTTGTTACTGATCAGTGAAACTAAATAGCTGCATGAGTAAACAGATATCCACTTAGAATATAAATTGGGCTCTGTTTCTTTTCAATGTAACAACTTATACATTTTATGTTTAAGCTTTCTTGGTCTTAAATCCCCTCTGGCAGTTCACCACACTGTAAATACCCTGAAAATTGACAGTAGAAGCTTTAGGTGTTAAAACATTTGACAGTATATGACATTAGTGCTGCATTTTAGCATCATCCCCCATTAAAGGCCCACTCCACCTCCCCTGCGTTTATGTGCAGCCTCACTGGCTGTGGTTATTTCTGGATATCTCTCGTGAGTCTCGGGGATCCATTTGCAGAGACAAAAAGAACGTGATATCCAGCCCTTTTTAAAATGGCTCTCGTTCAAGTTTCCAGACCCCAGAGACAATCCTGACCTCACTGCTGCTACTACTCAATCACTAATTGATCAGATGTGTCTCTATGTAGGCATGAATTCCAATAATGTTTGCTGTAATGAATAAATGGGAAAATATTGGTTTATTATTCCAGGAAATAAATCTAACATCTCTGCTACAGTGTGTCAGTGTAAAACATAGTGACTGTGTTCTCTCTCATCAGGAGAGGTCAAAGGTGAACTTCCTGTTGGTGGATGGTGCAAGTACTGAGGACAAACCCCTGAAGATCCCCAAGGAAGTGTGGATTCTTGTCAACCATCTCTTCACCAAGTCCTGTGATCAGGTGAGAGAGAAAATGAAAAAAGTCAGATGACTTTAATATACAGGATAAGGTAATGGGTATTATCTGGGAGATACATATGACCTAAAAAGTGCTTCTCACTTTCTAAGAATAGTCTAATAACTGGCAGTGTAATTCATTCAAGTGAAGACACATACAGTGTACTAAAGGCTGTAACATGATAGTATGATAACCCAAAATCCCAGATAATATCCATTTATAAAATGTCCTTAATATTAGTAGAGTTCTGTATGAATAATTATAAGAAACCTAAGTTGTGTTTTAGGATGAAAACCTTTTAATGTGACTGTTTTTTTTTTAAATTATATTAGTCTGTTTGTTGTTTATTTGTTATTCATGTCTTACAAATGTCTCACCACTGCAACAGTCATGTTTCTGGTTTCTTATAAGTCCATGTGGGCTGGACACTTGTATGTGCTTGACACAATAACTAACAGACTATAGTGATACAGGACTCAGGAGTGTATGTGCTTTAAATGTTCCATATTTGTCTCTGAATATTTCCCAGGAGGACTTGTTCCAGACACCAGGCCTACAGGAGGAGTTGCAGAGCATCATTGACTGTCTGGACACCAGCATCCCAGACTCCCTCTGTATCCTTGTTTGTGAAGCCAGTTCCACAGACACAAATCCTACCAAGACCCAGTCCTGAAATCACTGAGCCGCATTAAGACACTTAAACTCTGGTGGATCCTGTTGTGTTTCTTGGTCACGAGCATGTATTAGCATTATCATGATGATAATTGCCACAATCATGTGACCTTGTGATGTCAGGAAGTAAAAGGGTTCATTACCTCTCTGAGTGCTATTCAGTGCGCCTGCTTGCGATAAATGTTTAATAACAAGAACACATACAGAAAGAGACGAGGTCTGAAAATGATGATGCAGAATCTACCTGGATCTCTCCGGTTTATAATGTTAATATCCATATTAATGCTGCACTCAACAGGCCCACATTGGACTCTATTTGCTTGTTCTTCCTTAACTGTTCACGTAGTTGGTTGTAACCACTCTGTAGCTGAGGCTCTGCTGATCTTCTTGGAGGCCTTGCCGGAGCCAGTGGTGTGTTATGAACTCTACCAACGGTGCCTAGACTGCGCTCATGACAGCCGCCTCTGCAAACAGGTGCAGTGACTATGCTAATCAAACAACAGAGTTATGTGTTCACTCTGCAATTTACTGTATGATGTATACCAACTAGGTGTTGTTTTCTGTTTATTCTAAGGGGAAAGGTTGTTTTAGCTCAGCTTTATCCCAGATCTCTCTGTCATATACTGCAGTACAGTAATTTGTTGTCTGTCTTCTTTTTCTACTATTGACAGTTGATCTCCCAGTTGCCCCGGGCTCACCGCAACGTGTTTCGGTACTTAATGGCCTTTCTGAAGGAACTTCTCAAGCACTCACACAACAACAACCTAACAGCCAGCCTCATAGGTATGAAATGGATATCTTCTAGCTTTATAGTCATTGAACAGCTAGTTTAAGCAATTTCGACAACATGGCACAATGTCTGAAGAGAATATAAGCCCTTCATAGTGTAAAATGGTTTGTTGTATGTGGGGCTCTTATAACCTACAGTGAAAACGACAGACTGCTCTTCTACAATACTTAAATAATATAATATATATAATAACGACATCCATGCTTACAACAAGATTCAGCAATATCATGAGATAACAACATAACACCACACAATGTTTACACTATTATTGTGACATATAAACTTTTACATACAATACTGCATTATTAATTATTAACTGTCTTGCTTACTATAGATTTTACCATCATCTTTATGGAAGCTAGCCTGTTAAATATCCTGACGAATCACCTGACACTGCAGATTTGACAGAACATATCAAATTGCTTTATTTTGTTTTACTTGATAAAAGAGTAAGTTAGTTGTATGTTATTCCATCACTTTCTTTACGTTTTCTTCCTGTTCTTGTATTTTAGCAACACTCTTTGCCAGCCTCCTTATCCGACCGCCGCCCAACCTGGTGAGCAAGCAGACACCACACGACCGACAGAAAGCCATCGACTTCATTCTGGGCTTCCTCATGGCAGGAGATGAGGAGTAACCGAGGGCGATGGATCCTCATGACGTCAGTCAGGTTTGGCGTTGATTTCCAACCTGGCTTACTGTTGGCAAAGGACCTGGACCTGTAGGACACTGTGTTACACCATCGACTTGGTATTTTGTCATCTATTGGAGACCAGTGCAGCTGCACCCTACTGTTCACAAACTCTCATATTAGAGGAAAAGACACTTCCATTATAACTATGATGACTATACCAAGTGTCATATCTTCAGTTCATTCACAGTATGACCGCTCGCTGGATTTTGACGCTACTTGGGAGAGGTTTGAACTGATGCCGATGCACTTTCTGATGACCTAGAGGCTCTGTTCCTTCAGACTAGAGTTGTCCTTGTCCTCAGCTGACCCTTCTCATCGTAGGTGCTCATGCCAAAATAACCGCTGAACAGCGAATGGTATGAATGTGAAAACACTATGTATCCATAGATGCTGAGCGAAAGACTCAGTTACACTAAAGAAGTTTTCAGGAGTAGACTGAATACTATTATACGGTTCAAAGCAGTAAATAGTCTGAAATGGGATAACTGTGGAAATCTATATACTAAGAATGTTTAAGCTTAAGATAAATCATGACAATCCATTTTGCAGAATTTTAACTTTAGTGAGGGGACAATAATACCCGTTGTAGTATTTATATATTTTTTTTTTCTTCTCAGTACGCACCATTCTTGGTTTCTACTACAGTGGTTTATTTTCACCTCTTCATCGGTTGTAAAATATTTCCCAGGAAATATTCATGGCTTGTTTTTTATTGTCATGTTATAAAAAACGTGAATGTTTGCTGTGTTTTTGTGTAACTTCAGCCGTGAGCCTTACATCTCGTTTTGCCAGTTCCTCTTGAGTTACAAAACAAGTCTTTTAACACACTAACTTCCTGGTCCGCCAGAATCAAGTGAAGAGTCAACCTCTGTGGTTCTTGATGTCTTAAATTGTAGTGATTGTTTCCCTGTTCCATGGGTATATATGCCTGTTGATAAGGTGGTGCAAATCTGTAATGGTGTCTAAAGTTTGTCATGTTTGTCATGAAGGTGGTACTGTTACTGTCTGTGTTTGTTTACATGTCTTCTTCCTTATTTCTGCCACATCTTAAAGCTCATTATTCGTTGTTTTAGGCCTGTGTGATGCCAAGACACAGTCGTTGTTTTCCTCATGGTAAATGCAGATGAGTTTTAGGTGATGCAGCATTTTCTGTATGCAAGTTTAGCGAGATTGAATGGTTCATTACTCTGCAGGATACAGCCTGTCTTTGTGCACCTTTCTCATTTGTGCCACAGAGGATCTTTTTTTTTTCTTTCTCTGTAGTCACTGTTGCAAAACATGTCGTGGTTAGCGAAATAAGGAACTTCTATGCTGTGTATAATGAACAGTGTTTCCTCTTTAACAGTTTTACCCAAGAGATGTCAGCCTTAGCTTTCCTATTGGACAACAATATTCACATTTATGACATTCATTCCCCCTTGCTCAGAATCTTCAGAAGATTTCATGTTTGGAGACAATGTGAGCTCATGATGTAATGCTCCAACGCTGACAATCATGGCACTCAGAAATGCCCGTCGGGCTGACGTTGCTCTATTCCTGTGTAGTTTCTTCTTCCTTATTGCCATCCATACACTAGATTCTTGTGTTGGTGATAATCAAGCCGAGCTTTGCCAAAAGGTGGCTTGGGTGTGAAGGCATAGTTCCTGGTGATTCAGATTTGGGAGAGCCATTTTATTATAGCCATTTATTTATTAACTGTGTCTGTAGAAATACCACCACCATCATCATCATGTCAAACCCCAAATCAATATAATCAATAACCTCTGATTTTAAGTGTTGTCTTATGCCACTGTACCAACTGATGTATTTGTATGGATTCATTGTGCTTTTTGTCTTCGGTTTTGTCACAATTTGTTCATAAAGTTATGGTACATTTAAAGTTACACAAGGAAACACTTGCACCTGTTTTCCATTTTTTTGGTGCTTTTAATTTATTTAACACAAATAAAACATGTATAAAGCTGTTTTGTTCTTCCAATTCAACACCGCCTTATTGAAATATGTGTGGTTAAAAATGTTGACACCTTCCTATTTGGATAAACAACAAAAAAAACAACAATTGTACACTGGTACACTTTTGGGGCTCATTCTTCGGGAACATGTGAAATCGTTAGTGCCTGATGTTCGTGCTATAGTTAGTCTACTCAGTAGCCGGTGAGAGATCCTTCATCTCAGTGCTACATTCTCATTCCCTGTGAATATAAAACCCCTCCTCAGACCTGCTGCCACCATTTGCCTGTTGTGTTGTCGCTCAGTTTGAACCCATCCAAAGCCATGGCCATGCTCAGAGTGTCTTCTTACCGCAAGCTGTTTGAGGATGAAAACTGGAGTCGAAATGGAGGGTTGAGTATGCAGTGTGCAGGGCAGTCTCGGGCCTCCGTCAGGTCAGTGTGGGTCTCTGGGTAGAGGGCGGCTTCAGAGTTTAGCCTGCTCTTACAAATATATAGATGTTGATGATGGGCCTGAGTGTTGATACACTTAGAAATGTGCGGATTATACAATGTTTGTTTGTATCAGATGCTAATTATTTTGGGTTTTCCTGAATAGTGATGACATGCTTTCTGAGCTCATGGAAATAATTACATCCTGGTCCATTATGTTCATTTACTGTAATGGGTGGGGCTGAACATTACTGAGGCATTTAAAGAATGATACTGTATAGTAGAGGAACTTGTTTGTGTGGCATACGTGGTGAAAGTCAGTAAATGTCCCTGAAGGTGGTTCAAATTATCTCCCCCAGAATCCTTCAGAATTCAGTCCAGCCTTTGGTACTTTGTGTCCTTCTCTCAGGGGTGCGGCTGTTGACAAGTGTGACTGTGACAAGTTAGACTTTGTAGCTGCCAAGGCACTCAACAAAGAGGGTCTGAACCGGTTTGTCCAGGACCGCACCATCATCGCTACCCTCAATGACCGCCTGGTCAAGCTTATTGAACTGGTGAGGACAAACACTGTTACTGCTCCCAATGATACATCAGCACTTTATTTTTCCCTCTGCTGTGTCATGCCTTTCTTCTTGTTAAATGAAGCTCTATATATACATACAGCATGTACCTGTTCTGAGTGTATCCATTTTTAATCTGTGTCCTTTAGGCCCATTGTTTTGAGGAGGAGAATGAGTCTCTTGAATGTCAGATTGTTGAACTACAGGAGGAGTTGAATAGTCGGCAAACCTCCTCCGGCATCTCCTCCGCTGTGGCTGAGCGCGTTACAGACTACAGTCTGGATGCAGTGGTGGAAAGACTGCGTAGGGAGAGGGTAGGGTGCTGCTGCAGCTGGGTGTGTCTGCTGCATGTTTCTGTGTGTGTGACATTGCTAAATTGGGTTTTCTCACAGGCATTGCACTTCTCATTCCATCCCATCAATTTTACTTCAGTTTGTACAGTGACAGGCAGGCCTGATCTATAACCTTGTCAAGATCCATCACTGTCTTCACTGCGTCTCCCTGCAGGATGAGATTCTGTGTGACTCGGAGGAGCTGCAGAAAGAGCTGGAACGTCTGATGAAAGAGTACGAGAAGGCTGCACAGCAGAGGATCCTCTTCCAGCAGGAACGACAAGATGTTGCTGAGGTAATAGTTGTGAATACAATAGGAACAGACAAGCCAGGATTTAGAAACACTGAGGTCACAAGTCCACAATAAGATAAACACGTGTGATATCCATAAAGGCTTACTACGTGAATTTATTATTTCTGTACAGATAAGAAATAACCATTTAAAATAAATAAATACAAATTACTTTTGAGCCCATTTGTAAGGGAAGGATCCTTTAAGTTGGAGTATATTCTTGGCTTGATTTATACTGTTTTATACCTGATTTCAAAGGAATCAACTTCAAACCAGAGATGTGGTTTAGTCAGAAGAATAGAAATAGCTATGTTTAACCCTTTACATGGTCAATGGTATTATCACACTGCCATGACATTGGTGGGGATAATGGCCAACCGTGAAGCAGGAGAAGCTGATGTACACTAATTTGGGGTCTAGAGTATCACTCAAGATCCAGAAACACTGAAACTTGTATTTCCCATAATGCAACCAATAGCACCTTTTATTAGACCTTTTATGCCTGGTTAATTTCCCTACTCTTTCAAAGCCCACACTCCCAATGGTAATGTGAGTTTCTATTATAAATCTCTCCAAGCTCAGGCTGAGATAAACCTGATGATGTTATTACTTAGGTAACGGATTGGTATGACAGTAAATTGTTACAATAGGTGTAATAGTAGTTGTATTATTGAATCAACTGACCCCACTGGGGGTCGCCAAAGCTTCACAGGGGGTGTGGCCTTCTTGATTTTAAGGGGTGTAAGAAAGCTTACAGTGTGACCTATATCTCATCATTTTGTTCATTTCTGTGAAGAAAACTAAATTAATTTTAAATTATTATTTAATATCTAAACTCTAAACACAGGCTATAGTTACAGAACTTTCACTCTGATAAACAGCCTCATCCT